CGACTTGGTGCGCTAACATCTACCATAACGCGCAGAACGCGCTGGTCAGGTACAGCCGGCCGTTCTTCTCAAAACAAGCCCAGAAGGCATATTTGGGAACCTTGCTATTTATTGGCACGGGCCTATGCATGCTGTTTGGGTCCGCCCTCGCCTATGGGGTTTTCTACTATCGATTCGTTCCCCAAGTCGGCGTTGGACGCGTGGTACATTTACAATTCGGGTCAGTAAAGCATTGATCGGCGAACCTATAAGGATAAGAGGCATTCTTTGACCGTAGAGATCTGTTTGCTGATTGTACTTGCTAATAGTGATGGACATCCTTGGGGAACCGCCTCCCTTGGCTCCGAATTGGTCTCTCTTCAGCCATACGACGTCAACGTGGAACTTGAGTTGCCTCGTACCCCCTCAAACCTTGCTACTGGGAATTTCATGCTCGATCTTACCCTCGTTTCCCATCCTTCGACATCTGCCCTGACGGGCACGAATAGCTCTACGTACCCTCTCTCACGATCGCGACGTCCTGCCATCCTGACATACTCGTCGCCTCTAGTGGACACCGCCAGCAAGCTCTCGCTTATGCCGCTATATGTGTTTGGCTGGTCACGGGAAGCAGAGAAGCTGGTGGTACCAATGATGGAACGAGTTGAATTTGCCCGCGGATGGCGTAATCTGCCTGAAAGTTTGCGGCTGGAAATTCATAGTAACGAGGAGATGCAAATATACAAAGCAACGGTGGAATTCAAAGCTAGGTTTACTGGCTTGAGGTATGGGCTCCCGGGGACCCAACGTTGCTTTTGGGGTGAGGCCATTGTGACTGACGGTACAGCAGATGGATGATGTACAACTGGAAGATCACGTCGTTCTTTATCTTTAGCTCCTTATTCTGGAGTATCTGTATGACGTCGGCAAGCATTTCTTGGGTGATTATAGCTTCCTTATCAAACACGGCAACGCATGAACCGGAGGTGAAGGAAGAAGCGGGCGACGAAACGCCGATCAAGCAGGAACCTTCTGAGGAAACGTCCTCTCCCATGGAAGCACCCTCTACTTCTTCCGCTAATCCCGAAGAGAAACGGAGGATCAAGAGAGAAGACGAATATGAGGCAGATGACGACGAGTCTGATGGTTCGCCAAGAGACCGAGGTACAATCTCGTCCGAGGAAGTCGGTGCGGGGACTGGGCTGGAAAGTGCTGAGGCTCGCGGCATTCAACGAAGGCGAAGCCACCTGTTCAATCACGAACATTCCTAACCTGCTTCGAGGCCTGTTGTAATGATTTCCAACGCGGCGTTTTTTTTTTTTCACTGTATCGATACCCAGTCATCAGCGGGAACCATTATGTTGATCGAGATCTCTTTGAGGGAGTAAAAAGACCCCGTAGTAACACTTCTTTCTGTATACTCAACACATATTTTCTTGTGCGGGTCGTCGGGTTTACACGAAACACATGTTAGGCTGCAAGGTGAATTGGTGTCCAAAATAGTGCTAAAAATGTATATAAATAGTGAGGGCGATAGCGATGGCGTTATCGATAACGGAAAGTGGGCTGTTGGCAAGGCGGGGAAAAAAAGGGAAAATCGGTCCCAATTGTTCGACCATCCTTCTGACCTCTCCGACCACAAGCTTGAGACGACTGAGTCTTATCTTCCTTACTACTGGCCCTCAATGCATATTCTGGTGAGTGTGTCTGTTCTGTAATCATTCCGCCCGTTCTTCAATCGCATACTCTACCCCGCTTATCGCATTTGCATTTGCTTATAGTGAGGTTCTCCGGTAGGTTGTGAACGACGACGGCCCCCCGTCAAATCAGTCGTCTCCTTATGTCCATTCTCTCGTCGTTGCGCTACAGTCGGCAGGCCATGTGGTCTCCGTAGTTCTCCCACATCAGCAACGATCATGGATCGGCAAAGCCCACTTGATCGGCGCCTCCGTGAAGCCGACCTACTTCCGTCCGGGAACCCTGCATCAGGATGATGGAACGACGCATGAACTGCCTCGAGGCAGTGATCCTGCTGATGATGACAAGGATGGTGATGAATGGATCCTCGTCGATTCTACCCCGGCCAGCTGTGTGCAAATTGGGTTATACCACTATTTTGAGGACCGTGGCCCTATTGACCTGGTGGTGTCTGGCCCAAATTACGGCCGGAATTCGACGGCCCTATTTGCCTTGTCTAGTGGGACAATCGGCGGTGCTATGGAGGCAGCCGTCTGTGGAAAGCGCTCGATTGCACTGTCTTACGCTTTTAGTTCAAGGGACCACGACCCCGTTGTCATTGCCGAGGCATCGCGCCATTCGGTTCGGTTGATTGAGTATCTTGCACAGAACTGGGCGAATGGTGTGGACCTGTACAGCGTCAATGTGCCGTTAGAGCCCGGTGTGAGCCAGAGCAAGGTGCTTTATACTGACATGCTTGATAACCGATGGACATCTGGTAGCTGTTTTCGAGCCGTCGATGCCTCGGTGCCGAATGCGAATCCCGAACTGCAGGAGCACAATGTGCGACACCAGGATCAGACAGCAGGCGAAGAATTATCTGTGAATGCTAATGGAACTACCACGAGAAGATCTCGGATTCAACACAAACATTTCCAGTGGGCACCGAACTTCTCAGATGTCTACAGGAGTGTGGAGGAAAGCGTACCGGGCAATGACGGCTGGGTCGTTAAGGAAGGAATGACAAGGTATATCAACTCCTCTATCTCACCCGAGTATATTGTCATGATGGTCGCTAACTCGTGCCAGTGTTACGCCTCTGAGAGCTAACTTCATGCATCAACCCGGTATTCAAGGAGAGATCAAGCTGTGAGTGGACTTTCTCGGCGAGCGAAGCCAAGATTAGATATGACTGCCTAGAACATAATGCTGCGGAACTTTAAACCTCTAAGCTTTTGACATGCTTCTGGCTTTTCTTCCCTTCCCCGGCATTGCCTTATCACTTGTTACCTGTGGTTCTTTGGAAGACTGGCATTCTGATAGATCTATATCATGTAGACCGGATAATGATGAGCCTACGTTATACTCCATTGTGGACAGTGACGTTCCATATGTTCAGGATTTAATGGAACAGGCCCTGCAGCGTTGCCTTGGCAAGGGTCGCTATAAGACGATATCTTCACTGTCAGACCTTCCGTCTCGTTCGGCGCCTCTCTTCCAATACCGTGAATACGAGCGACTCGACTTCGAACATGTCATGCTACATTCATCTACGTCCTTGGCGAACGCTTACATTATCCGCAAGGCGTTGATTCGCAAACATTACCTTTCTAACACAATCTCCAACTGGGTGACGAAACACCCAGACAGCGTCCTAGGAAAGCATTTCAAACCTGGATTCGATTTCGAGCTAGATTACGCAGAGTTCCTCGACGACGCGTTGCTAGAAGCCTACGAACTACGGGACAGTCTGCAAAAGAATGAGGAGCGGCCTGATCATGAAAAGGAGTGGTGGATCCTGAAACCCGGAATGAGTGATCGGGGACAAGGAATTCGACTCTTCAGCAGCGAAGATCAACTGCGCGAAATATTTGAGGAATGGGAAATCGATGAATCTGACATAGAAAGTGGATCGGAGCGAGCTGAAGAAGAGGACGATGAGGGTGAGAATGGAACAGGGGTGGTCACCTCCCAATTACGCCATTTCATTGCGCAACCATATATCGATCCACCCCTCCTCCTCCCCTCATCATCTAACCGCAAGTTCCACATCCGCACTTATGTCCTCGCAGTGGGTTCTCTGAAAGTGTACGTCTTCAAGGAAATGTTGGCTCTATTTGCTGCAAAGCCATACTGTCCACCTTCGGAGGATGAAGACGAGATCACTGATCTGGCGAGGCATCTTACGAATACCTGCTTCCAGGAAGGTGGAAGCGCCAACGAAGGAACCGTCCGGAGGTTTTGGCAATTAGATCCCCACGTCCCTGGACTCAGCCCCGATTGGAAGGAGAGGGTGTTTGACCAAATTTGCGCTGTGAGTGGTGAAGCTTTTGAGGCTGCTGCCCGTGGAATGATGGTTCATTTCCAGACGCTCCCCAATGCCTTCGAGCTTTTCGGGGTGGACTTTTTGGTCGATCGAGACGGCACCGCTTGGTTACTGGAAATGAATGCCTATCCGGACTTTGCCCAGACGGGTGAAGACCTCAAGGAGGAAGTAATTGGCCGTCTCTTTGAGGAGACTGTTGAGGTTGCCGTGAAGCCGTTCTTCGGTGGCGAGGCTGCAGTGGATGGAACTGACCACTTGAGGCTGGTTGCCAACCTTGATTTGGGCCGGAGGTCCTAGTCTTGGTCGCTTCTCCAGTTAAGGCTAGACATCAGTGTTCTTGTCGCTCTTGGATTAGAAAACTCTCACGGGCAGGCGTTGACAGAGTGTAAAAATGAGAAGGAATGAAAAAGATATAGAAGGAGAGAGTGTGTTACTATACCCAGATATAGCTCCCATATAGGATCCGGTCGAGCCCCGGTTGCTCAATGTAAAAGACGATGCAGTTCTTCGGAATGCTAGGAGACACCAATTGTTCATGGTACTGAAGCAGTATGAAATGCGTATGGAGACAGGGAGTGTAGGTTAAAAATAGCGTCGCTGCCCTCAGTATCCGAGGAACATGTTTAATATAATCCGTAAGCACAGATCCAATCGAAGCCTGTTCCAGATCTATGGACCTGCAAGGCATTCCTTGTTCTGAGCACATAGTACTTGCTCATCAGCACTGCAGCATACAAAGATCCGTTTCGTTCCTGCAGGGTTAGGGCGACACTCGCTAACATTACAGTGAGGATATACTACTACTACTACTACTACTACTACTACTACTACTACTACTACTACTACTACTACTACTACTACTACTACTACTACTACGACGACGACGACGACGACGATACGCCGTGTTGAATATATGCTTGATTCTAGGTGAACTGTTATAGCGCACGGCAGTAGATATGATTAACAAGACTTCCTTCTGTGCAGTAGAAATTTGAGCTGTAGAAAGAAACATAGGTTATCACCCAAACCGCTGCTTTGCCAGCGCCTTAAGCCAGTCAATGGTTTCATCCTCTTTCTGGCGATATTGCTGCAATCTTTCCTCACGCTCCGCAGCGCGTGCGCGGAGTATTTCTTCCCTTCGGATTTCCCGCTCGTTCTTCTTCTGTTGTTCTGTCGCCTTGGCCCGCTTGAGGGCGTCCAGATCATTGTCCGCGGAACCCATCAATTCGTCTTCGGGGCCCCATCAGGAGAAGCACCCCGCCGGGACTCAGCAAAGGCTCGATTCGCAGCAGCAGCCTCCTGACGTTTCTCCATCTTCCGCTCATGAGTCCCCGGTTCAGCCCGCGGCGCAACCTCATCTTCCATATGTCGTAACTCAGACCGGTGCGAGCGTACCTCAGCACGGCGCTGTTTCCATGAGTCCTCCCGCGCCGCCATAGCATCCTCAATAGCCGATTCTATGCAATCTCTAGATTAGCACAAAGTAAAAACAACCAAGAACCAAGTACCGAAATCCAAGCATACCTTTCCGTAACTCCAGATCCTGCATTGTAGGAATAGTCGGCCCAGACGATTGTCCCGCGCGACCACCGTCATATCTACCCAACTGGTCATATTTCGGCAGAACAGGGCCGTAGTCATCCTCGTCCTCGTCGGGATTATCGTCCTCCCCCTCCTCCCGCCGGTCTGCTCTCCCATCCTCACCCCGGCCGTAGTCCGGGGACCGGCGGTGCCGCCCGGAAGCAGACGCAATGGGCTCGTCCTGGGCACTACGGCGCGCCTTCTCAAGGGTGCTCGGATCGTACCACCCTTCCGCGAGTTCTCCACGGTTCCTGATATGTCAGTTTTCCGGACCATGTACTAGTACATCCATCAGGAATGGTGTATGGGGGGAGTGAAAAGCGCTCTTTACCATTTGTTGATGAAGCTCTTCCATCTTCCCTTGACTTCGTCTTCGCTGAGATCTTCTATGAGAATCCCCTTCTGGATGTCCAGGTACATGGCGAACATGGGTTCGTAGGTGGAGAGGTCGCGCTTGGAGAGCTCCCGTGCTTGGAAGGGGAGGATGACTGGTTTCGCCGGCGGTTCGGGGCGGCGTTCGCGACGGTCATGGTTGTGGCTTCTGTGGTGATGTCGATGGCTGCGATCACGATCGCGGTGATGGTGATGGCGTCTGTGTTTGTCTGGGGAACGGGAGCGGGAGCGCGGATGTTGGTGTGAGGATGGTTCGCGGGTGGACATTTTGTTGGGTGGGCTATTTGGTGCCTTTGGGGGTGTTGTTGGATTTAATTGAATTTAATATAATGGGATAAATTTATCGGCCGCTGACGTCGCGGTAGTTGAGAAATGCCAAGCTTTGTGGGTGTTTGCCGTTTTGGGGTAAATTGCATGAGCTTATCTTTTGCTTACATTCCAATGTTCCTCGGCTGGCTTGTGCCTCTGTCTATACTCAATTGCCGCGATTATGTTCCTGAGATGGAACCTATATTGGATGCTATAGGGACTCGGTAGGTAGCGACTGACAGGACATCCAATACATATTCAATCCAGTGTAATGCTACAACTATGCATGACCTCTCGAATTCTTGATCACGTAACCGGGAATAATACCGTCCAATCCAACAACCAAATCATTATCTCCATGGTGAATACAATCACAGGAATGAAAAGAAAACCCAGCAGAAAAATAAAGATGAAGAAATCTACATGAAGAGCATGAAAGAAGCGGTGAAGGTTTTAGCTGGCCGGGGCAGTTTGCTCACCGGCAGGCTTGGTAGAGTTATCCGCGGTAGAGGAAGTGGGAGTCGATGGGGACGCATTCTTCGAGCGGTTGGCAGCGGCCATTTGCCAGGCAGGGATGGAAGCGGATCGGCTGAACTGGGACAGAGGGCTACTGCTCACGGGAGGAGTGGTCTGGTTCGACGGTGTTGGGCCAGTGGACGACGGCTGTGTAGCTTGTTCGGTCGACGTCACTGTGGTACCGTTGGTGGCTGGAGAAGCAGGGGACTCTTCCGTAGGACGAGGGGCGCCCGACACAGTAGGCAGGGCACTAGGCTTTGCAGTGTTCGGGGAGGTAGCAGCTCCGCTGCCCCCGAGCCTGTTGCCCAACAACACCTTCAAACTCTTCAATTCGGTTCCCAGCTCCTTCAAGCGGTTCTCGTTTCCTTCCCGAGCGCCTTCCAGGGCTTTAGGAATAGCGTCTTTCAATGACTTGACCTCATCGCTGATGCGACGGGTTTCATCGTCTCTCCGACGCGAAGCGTTCTTCAAATCTGCCACAAGGTTCTCGACCTCCCTCAGGGCAGCGTCTAGGCGCTCCGTGCGCGACTCTTCAGCTGACTTCAGGGCTGCAGTATCTGTAGAGAGTTGTTCAATCAAAGCAAAGGCACGAGAAAATTGTTCATCAATGTTCTCTTTGTCCTGTTCTAATTGGGGCGGAGTAGGCGGTGCGATAAGGGGTGTGATATAGCGCTGGCAATCGTATTAAACCCATGTTTCAATGGTATGAGATAAATCAGGCTCACTACGTTACTAACCTTAGCGACAAAGTAGAGCCCATATCCTACACCTCCTACTGTTGTGGCCATAATGAACCAATCGCGCCAATCCCTCTTTGGGGGCCTGTCACGTAAAATATTAGCTTGCACAGTCATATATCGCTCTGGGGAAAGATGTGAACGTACTCCGGAGGCGGAGGCTGCCATTGGCCATATGGAGGGTAGCCATATCCATATCCTTGAACAGGTGGTGGAGGACCTCGGTAGGCAGGTGGTTGTGAAGACGGTTGGTACCCTGACGATGCAGTTACTGCAGTAGCCCCAGCCGGGCCTTCACCTGTGCGGGCGAGAGCGATGTCGATCTCCTCTTGTGTAAGGTTCTTAGACTGAAGAAATGCGACTTTCTTCTCGACCGGCGACGATGCTACTGAAGGATCTTGAAGGACTGCTGAGCAGTTAGCAATTACACCGAAGGCGACTGAAGTCGACAGTCGACGTGGAACACGCACAGGTAACCTAGAAATGAGGAGACCGGTCAGCTCCGATTCCGCAAGCAACGTATCTCAGATGAATATAACGCAGACTTACTGCAGAGGAGATGAGCTCCTCGCGAGCCATTTTGGCAATTACTCTAGAAGATTGACTGACACAAAAGGAGGATGTGGCAGAAACTCTGCAAGGGCACGTTCACGAGGATGAGAGAGAGAGGAGTTGGAGAAGACGGAGAAGGCGGGAAAGGGAAAGAGAAGCTTATCGGCACCGATGGACCTCGGAAGTTCCGTCGCTGGTCCAGTCATTTACCTCGTGTGGCGGAGATTCCCCAGAATCTCGTGATCGGGGTCCTCTGCCCGGAGATAACTCGGCATTCGCGAAAGCGTTGTTCCTTTTGCGATACACCGCCTACTCTGTACGGATGAAGTGGGATATCTTGTTTACATCCTTTCGTTTTGTTTTGTAACCACCGCAACTGCCCTTTTTTTGGTGCCCAATTCTCTGGGTGGCATTTTTTCTGAGCCCTTTTGTACAGGCATTCGCTGGAATTTTGTTTGGCGTCATTTGTTAATCTTGTGTCCATTTTTCCTTTTACCAAAGCCGCAGTCGCGGCTTCCTTGCCATCATGTCGCAAGATACGGGCTTGTTTAGCATCAAGCGCCCCCGAGAGGTAATCCATTGCACCACCCCACCATTTGTGTATTAGGATCATGGAATAACCGTTGATTTAATTCGATATAGTCCCTGGCGCACTTCTCGGCTCTCCCTCAACCGTCATCCGCCCTGAAGCGCACCAGCTCTATCGGCGCATTTGGGAACCCGCCTACTGCCCAGCACACACGCATGTCGCTGTTGAACTCCGCCAGTCGCCCCCAACAGCCAAACTTTCAGCGTTCGTCTTCCGGAGGAGCTTTCGGGGCTGATGCAGGCCTCTCCTCGGTGAGACGTTCTGTCTCAAGCAATATCTTCCACGGGGCCAGCGCCGGCCGCCAAAGCTACGCGCCCGGCTCCTTTGGTTCCAACCCCGCATCCCAGAATTTGCAGCGGAGGAGCAGCGTTTTCTCAAGGCCGTCCGCTGGCGTAGGAGGCGCCATGGCCCACCAGTCATTCTTCACACAGGTCCCTAACGCGGCTGGTGTCCCACGGGACCCTCGACCCCTGAGGGACCGATCCTTTCAAGCTCGGATTGGACAGGAGCTTCTAGAGTATCTAACACACAACAACTTCGAGCTAGAGATGAAGCATACTTTGGGTCAAAATACCTTGAGGTCGCCGACCCAGAAAGATTTCAACTACATCTTCCAGTGGCTGTACCACCGCATTGATCCCGGTTACCGCTTCCAGAAAAGCATGGATTCAGAAGTACCGCCTATCTTGAAGCAGTTGCGCTATCCTTATGAAAAGGGTATCACAAAGTCTCAGATAGCAGCTGTCGGGGGTCAGAACTGGCCTACGTTCCTTGGTATGCTGCATTGGTTGATGCAACTGGCCCAGATGATGGATAGGTTCATTCTGGGGGAATATGATGAAGCTTGCGCAGAAGCCGGTGTAGACGTTTCCGGGGATCGCATCATCTTCCGATTTTTGACTGGGGCTTATCATGACTGGTTACAGGGCGGTGAGGAAGAGGATGATGAGACAGCCGGACAGAGGCTAGTCCCCCATATCGAAATGATGGCTCAGGAGTTTGAAAGGGGTAATGAGAAATACGTACAAGAAGTGCAAGCATTGGAAGCGGAGAATCGTGCACTACGAGATCAGATCGAAGAGATGGAGAAGAGTGCTCCCGATATGGCCAAGCTAGACAAGCATTTCAGGATTCTCGAGGATGACAAGAGGAAGTTTGAGGATTACAACCAAAATGTCCAGGGAAAGATTGAAAAGTACGAAAATCGTATTAAGTTCCTGGAGGATGAGCTTCAGAAGACTGAGGCAGACCTGCAAGCGGCTGAAGACGAGCGGGCAGGGCTCCAATCCAGTGTCGACCGACAAGGCATCACTATTCAGGATATTGATCGCATGAATACGGAGCGCGATCGTCTCCAAAAGACCCTTGATGATACCATGGGTCGACTGGAAGAGACGCATACCCGAGTGATGGAGAAGGAAAAAGAGGCCAGCGAGAAGCTGGAGGCCCTCGAGGAAGTTGTCAAAGCCTACAACACACTAGGCTATCAAACCAGCCTGATCCCGTCCTCCGCGGTCAATGCGAAGGGCCAGGACTATGAGCTCAGCCTCAACGTCAACGAAAGTAACTTCTCCGCCTCGCAGATTGGCTCCGCACCTAGCAGAATATCCCCGGAGGGTGACCGACTCCTAGCAGAGCCGTTCACGGGCTATCACCCGGCACATTTACTGAGTCTGGACTTGCGGGGAACGGTCCGTAGTAGTCTACAGACTCTGCGTAAGGATATCAATGAGCGACGAAAGCGCGCAGCGGATGATGATTTGGATCGGCGCAATCTTTTGGACAATATTAAGGAGGCCATGGATGAGAAGCGAAGCGAAGTGGAAGCTCTGGAACATAGACGACGCGCAGCGGAAGAAGAATTTGAGCGGACCAAAGAAATCACGACTACGCAGAAGCTTGCCTCCGATGCCCAAATCGAAAAGATGGAGAAAGAGCTTGCCAAGATGCGGGCTACTATGAGCGAGAGCGTTCAGCTTATGGAGCAACGTGAAATGAACACGAATATTGAGTACGAGCAACTGACGCTCCGAGCGAATGCGCTACGGGAGGAACTACACACCAACGTGGAAAGCATGTTGAATGACGTGATTCGATTCAAAGTACATGTTCAGAAGGGCCTTGAAGACTACGAAGGCTTCGTCGTTGATGAAGTCGAGCAGGAACTTGGAGGCGACATGGTACCGGCGGATGATATTCCTCCGGAGGAAGAATTGTAAAATCGATTCGAACGAGATTCTCCGTACCAGAAGTGACAATGATCGCTGAAGTTTTGACTAGTTTTTTTTTTTTTTTTTTCTCCCTTCGCTTGGGATACAGAGCGCGATCGGCTTTTATACTGAGTTCGTACAACGCAGCGACCTTCATCACCTCTAGTCGGCGGAGTATAAACTTTTGGTTTGCATGATGATATTGGTAGTCATCCTTGATGTGGCGCTACTGGCAGTTCGGGTGTGTGGTGTTTTGATCATCGCTTCCTTTTTGTTATTTTTATTTTTATTTTATTTTTTCTTAATTCGTTTCCTCATGAGGCTTGGGATGTGTGGGTTGTGATGTTAATTGATACCTTTTCTTTTGGGTTGTTGTCCATGTTCACACTGTCACGATTGACAGAGTAGAGTGTATGTATATAAGTTTCCAACCAATGTGCACACTCAGTATATTCCATCTCTTTACACAGTACTTACCTCGAACATTTTGGGTGAGAACATACCTATCGATGATCATCCTACATCTTGTGCCATGTTGATGATTCGAGCAGTCTCGATCCTCACCAAGATTGCTAGTTTCAGGCTGACATGTCGCCTAAAAAAAAGGCATGACTCGATCTCGACCCTCAGGCATTAGGCAATTCAACCGCCGGCTCGTCAATCCTGCTCAACTTGCGACATTCATCCGGTGCGCCAAGTGAGCGCTGTGGTACCGATGGTAGTTATGATTGGAGTACCGAGGATAGGGTTGAGTGATCGTCGGCTTGAGCTCGTCTTGGTTCGTTTCAGCCGACGCAACATTAACCCACTCCGCACTCCAAATCAACGTCTCTTCCCTCCACCGGACGGTAATTGATCGGCAGGAGGTGTGCAACAAAACACGAGGACATTGCCAATTTCTATTGCCTAAGCTACAGCAAGGGACTCGCCCAGTTCATCATTCTCTGGCGAGATGACGAGTCTTCATGCCCACCCGTCGACCGCCAGTCAACCCCATTGATGGATGAAATTATGTCAAGGGAACTGATGATCTTCAGTCGGCTGTACATTTCTTAATGTCATGCTGTCTTAGCATCACCCTGGCGAAGTGATTGGACCCTCCGATGCGCATTACAGGGCTTATTTCCCTCCACTCAGAATTATTGCTTCAAGAGGCGCCGAGAGATGCGCCCGGATCGTATGCCATCAGCACGGCAGTACCCTGGAGCTAGCGCAACGTCTCTCCCGTGTCTTATGCTTCGGCGTCTGGATAGGCCAACAGTAAGCTGTTCCACGGCCCCTTAGTCTAGGATCTCTCGGTCTTGCCGAGTTGGTCAGGGCCTTGAAGGGTCTGCTCTCGAATCCACCGAGCCCTAACACAATAAGGACCCTTCGCAACCGCAATCCAAAACGAGGGTATGGTCCTGTTGATCAGGGCCATCCTGGTCGTAAGAAAAAAGTGGTTCTTGGCCCTTCCCTAGATATATAAGCTCATAGATCGCAACTGATGGCCTTTCTTTCTCAAACATTCTTTCTTTTCTCTGCCAGTGCTGTGCACGGATTTTCCATATTGTACACTTTCATTCCATTCATTTGACCCAACCAATACATACTATACCACTCCTTTACATACTAAAATCCATATCATCATGAAGGCCTTCACTCTCTTGGGAGCTGCTGCTCTTTTCTTTTCCCCGGCTCTTGCACAGGAAGACCTTGGACATGTTACGATCCTTCCCTTTCCTTTGGTGAGTAGCCATGCCGCCAAGCTGCGGAATTCCAGCTAAACAACTGTTCTAGCCCTCTGGTACGCCTTCCGGGACGCCTTCCAGCACTCCTTCGGTCACTCCTACTCCCTGGCCCAGCGGAGTTCCGCGTCCTACCGGCGTTCGACCTACGGGTTCGTGGCCAACTCCTTCCTCGAGCGGAGTTCCACCTCCTTCTAGCTCCCCGGTCTTTGCTTTCCAGCGCAGACACGCCCGTCAGGTCCGCCCAATCTTCGTCTAGACGGTCCCGTAAAGTTTGGATCATTGCTGGGAGAGTGAGCTTGGTTGGTCGATGAATGGATGGATTGCTGGATCAGTCTTTCGTTCGGGTGTGACGGTGTCGCCATGTTTGATAGCAGTTGAATGCCATATCGGCTTATCTTGGAGACAATGTACCTCTCACTTATAGCGCCGTTTGAGCAACGTAGATCTTGATAACTACAGAGTATGCGTATAGTACATACTAACAGTAGGATGTAATATTGGTAAGTTCAATACTACGATAATACGGCCAAATGTACGGAGTAGCAGAGCTAGACATGTGACAGTAGTAAAGCTAGTAAACATCGCTGCGCTGATTGGCAGGCTGATGCTGAGTCAGCGCTATCGGGGAAGCTTTTTCTGCGATCGAGATTCAACAAATCCTCGCCAAGGTGAAAACGAACGTCCCGGACAGCCTACCAGAACAATTGGGATTACTCGGTGGTATTTGTTCGCTTTCAGATCAGTTCTCAGGGCGATGCGGTATCAGTTGAATGGCTAGACATGCGCTACAGAACGTCCGTCCGCCGGTCACATCGAAATTTGGATTCCCTCCGCCCGCAGGTCTTGTCCGATAGATCCTCCATCGTGTCATGAAAAGATCCCTGTGTCCAGCTCGTCTGCTGTGTCTGGACCGCAGGTCTCACTTGCTCCATACTGTATCAGTCTCTCCGTATCGCCTGCTCAGCTACTCCCAGCGCAAAGGGCTCCCAAGTTGGAGACCTTCCCCGGGAAGGCGACAATGGGGTCGCCAGTTCTCCGTGGGCTCCAGCCCTTCTATCAACCGTCAATTACTGCATGATCGACTTCGAGTGAAAAATGAATCTCCGATACGCGAGTCGCAGAAAACCCCGGAAGCGTGGATTTTATTGCTGGAACAACACCTGCTAGGAGATTCTGGAAGTGGCAGTAAGGCTTTCGAACCGGACGCTGCATCGGTGACGACCCCAGCATCCATCAGTCGAGCAATCGACTTGCGTGAGCTTTTGTTCAACGCAAGAACGTATGGGGACCTGGATCTTTTAGCCCATCTGGGGTACCGGTTGAACAACTGGCCTGCTGTCTATGCATTACTGAATCAGTTGCTCGACGCCGCAGATGCACTGAACGATGTCTCCCCCTCTCTTAAGCATCTGTCTAATAACAGCTGGGGTTACAAGTCCAGTGTATCGCTTGATCAATTGACCCATCAGATCGACTCGGCTCCGCGGCTCACGCCAGATCCAACAACACAGATTTCTGAGTTGACAAGCCTAGATACGTTAACCGAGAGAGCATTTGCGGACGAGCATTCCCGACGGTTCATGGCACAAGTATGGCAGAGCTTGGGATCAATTGTGCTTGATGCTGCTGATGCCTCGCCAAATGAGTCGAAGATAGCGATGTCTTATGTGTTTCGGATACTTGCTCGTCTGCACCACTCCGGTGCAGTATCGGATAGGGTATATAAATATGTCCCTCCAGATAGCCATCAGGTCGCCTTTCGACCGCCGACGATGCATCTACTGTCAACACATATCATGAGCGTTCTGTCGGATGCAGCCTGGCTTGTACACGAAGCCGAAGTGGCGGCCAAGGCAGCTGCTGCGGGTGAAGACTCGCCTTTCCTTCCCTTCCAAATGGGCATTCGAGAACTTGGGCCTGAGATTTGGATAGAGTTGATTCTTTGGTGCTGTGTGGAACATGGACATATCACAGAGGGCATATGGCTCATTGATCAGATGAAGACACGGAAAGGGGATCTGGCTTGGAAATTCCAAAGCTGGAGACCCCTACTTCAACATCCAGAGTCTGTATGGAACACTAAGGTTGACTCAGAAGTATCCTGGCGCCATCCGGCCCAAGTCGACGGCCCTTCGCTTCTTCGAAAGCGCAGTAGCCCCTCCCCCTTCAATGGACTCGGGGCGCGAACAATCAGTCTTGAGGTAACCGCTTCCTTAATGGATAATCTTCCAAATTGGGGCTATCGAGGATTAGGCTTCTGGGGTATAACGTCGGCCGCGCTTCTGCATCATATCTCATCGCTCAAGTTCACAATAGCCCCGAGGGCGGCCGATGATACCCCTTTAGCTACGACTAAGGAATCTAATTGGTTCATTCTTCGTGTTCTTGAATCTGGATGCATCGATCCTCAGGCGGATCCCCAAGCATTCGATGAACTCATCAGAGCCATTCCTCATGTTGTTCCGCCCTGGGACAGCAATGATCTGTACTTGCCTGATGAGGAGGATTTGGAGCAACTTGAGCCGTCCCAGATTTATGACGAGACAACAGCCTTAGCTAAACTCGTCGAACATAACATCCGATTCCACTCCCGGCGACGCCTTTGTGGAGATGCGATGGATTCATTTGCTTGGTTGCAGAGCGCAGTTGACAAAAGTAAGATGCAACGCATAGGCGAATTCTTCTCCTCACGCGTGGACCCGTCCGATGACGAGCACCTGCCGACTTTCGATACTGCCAATCTGGCCTCTTTGAAGCCATTTGAGTCGTCGATGCCACAAATTTCACCTATTACGCTGGCCGAACTTCTGGACCTGGTGACTGTGTCTCGAGCATTCACGTTCGGCGACTGGTTACTCTTCTCGAACGACATTGACGGACCCCCGATTCCTCACAGCGCATACGGGAATCAAGCTTTGGCACCATCAATCATTCGTTACGCTGCCGCTACGAAAAATAGCACACTCTGCGATTCAGTTGTCCAGTCTCTTTCACAGCCCCTCTCGGCGAATACTCTACGAGCCCTGTTGAATTACCGTATCGCAATGTGCCAATGGAACCTGGTAACTGTGATGCTAGAATATCTCCGCGGCTACCGCCTAAAATCCTGGGGCCACAGTAATATCACCGCATTAGCCGCCGAAATTATCAGATTAGACCATGCTGTCACCACAGAAACCGACACGACAAAAGCGGAAGACAATATCCAGAACCTAGCACAGGCAAAGGGCATCCTGCTGCGAATTCTCAACGGTGAATTCAATGAACTACACCCAAGAGACAACTTCCAGGAGCGCTCCCTCCACGGCTTGCAACGCCTCTTCCTCTCCATCCCTGGCGCCCTCCACGACGTTGCCGCCACCTCCAATCTCCGCTCCCAAAAGCTCGCCCGAAGCTCAACCCCCCACATACCCTCAACGGCCTTCCACCCCATCCTCTCCGCCGTAGTCGATGCCCGAGGCAGCGCCGCCGGCAAACGACTCTGGGACACCTGGTGCGTCGACGTGCAGTCCCCATCCGCCAGCCGTCTCCAGAAAGGCGGCATCCCCCGTCTCTACCTGAACACCGAGCGGGACATGAAAAAGGGCAACCCTCATTTCGACGAGGCATACTTCAAACAGCTCCAGACTAAACTGGTGGTGCCCAATATATCCACCGTCCGCATCATCGCCCGAGCCGCAGTGAAAGAGTACAACGAATTCGAAGCTAAACACTCGCACACCGTCCCCGATGAAAACCCTCCATCTCCTCAAGCATATGCATATCCCAGAACTACCCATCCTCAGCATAACCCCGCCCGACCCATCCTTGAGTTCTGTATGAAGAGATTTGAGGCCCTCGGTCTTCGGCGAGCGGATAGAAACCGCGAGTTGGAGGCTTCGTATACCGAAGAAATAAAGAGTTGAGAAGAATGAAAAAACAGCGACTGGGGCGTGATAATACCACCGTGCAACAAGAGCGCACTCATATTTAGGGTGATCTGGTGATTCCATAGACTACTACCTTGTAGACATGTATTATACTTATTGCTCTAACTATTTTGGAAATTCTTAGTACTGTCTTGTGTGTATGATAGAGATGTTAGATACCAGGTTTAATAATAGTACATAGCACAGAACTAAGATGTTTGTTTTTCATATGAAGTTGGACTCTTTAACGAAAGTGACCCATCTTGAAATGATAACTTGATTTCGAACTTCGTTAGACAGAACGTAAAATTTCTCGAGCAATCCGATTAAACAACAAAAAAATCACGAGCCAGCCACCCATCATCTATTTGCACTGTAGCAAGCACCGTATGGCAAACTCCCGATCTCTCTTACGATAAACTCCTTGCACGCTGATGACATGCCGTGACACCCAACCCGTGCCAAAAGACCGCACATAAACAAATTGATATAGAGCATTTATCATAAACCTTGTGAAAGAAGGAAAACATATAAAACACAGATAAGCAAGCTCTGAACAACGGACGTTAGTAGTAGTAGTAGTAGTGGCAAATATTATTTTGTACAGAGAATTGAATGATTTTGCGAACATCTTAATTTTGTTCCCATGGCTCTTCCTCATTGGGAATGGGGAAGAAGGAGCGAATAAACTCCCCACTGATGGGGTCATAAGGGAAGAAGGCATCGGTTCCGGGGGCAGAAAGTGCAAGGGTTGACGAGGTCGGATCAATCGCTGGGACTCCAGAGTACGCTTGCTGGTTCTGGTCATAATGGTACTGAGGTTGAAGCGGCTGTTGATTTGGACCGCCGACTGTGTCGTAAAAAACAGTCATAGGCGGCGCTGTCTGGCTGACAGGTACACCCATACCAGCACTGCCACCAGCATCTGGGTTCATATGTACGTGCGCGGTTGGGTCATAGTTTAAGACTGGCAGGTCACTCAAGTCATAATCCATGCCAATGGCGATTCGTCGAAAATTACTGTCACACAGCTCCCATGCACGCCGTGCTGGGAGACTACATTCGGACATGGCAAAGAGCCAGCGTATGGCCTTTTTTGACGCTTCGAAGATACCTATCTCTTCAGCCGGCATATGAATGCAACCAAACGACAACTCGAGCAGAAGAACCGTAGCCGTCTGCATCAGATAGTGCAGAACGCACCACCAAGGGCAAACATGGTAGAGTTGGACAGCGTTAGGTTCGTCTGGAATCAAGTCCAGCATCTGTCGTGCAGAATTTAGAGTTATCTCTGCCATTTCATGGCTGAAAGAGGATTTTTGCTGAGGGCTAGTATGCCGAGCATCGCGGCGACACAGGCACGGACGTCCCAAGGTGATTCGAGCACTGTAGTAGTGAAACGCCAAGAAAAGCTTTCCACGAAGCATCTCCATACCTTGGTCGTCCCGTCGGGTGAAGTCCAATGCCTCCGGAAGGTTGGCGTACCATATGTCAATTCGGGATCGAAGCTCCCCAATGCGGTTCTCAATATGCCTCCAGGGTACCATGGCACAGTCCAGCGAATACACCCGGTTGACAATTTCCTGAGCGACAACTGCCAGGTCCACATAATAAAGGAAGATAAGCATCTTACTGATGGGTTGGCTCTTCAGCCAGGAAGTGTCACACAGTTTGTCTGTATGTCGGGTTTCCTTGCCTCCCGGAGGATTTGAGGGCATGTGGCGAACAAGGGTACTTGCCAAAGTCGATTCTACAAGCTCCTGGCGAAGGTCTTGGTCGTTGAGAAGCTTAGCTGCAGCTGGCTCTTGAAGCTGGTCCTCCTCGAACGGTAGAGGCAAAGGCGTCGTACATATCCCATCCGTAATGCAAGAAACTCTACCTGTCATGATCCCAAGCATATGTTCAAAAGTATAGACACACCACCAGACCCTATATCGCGCCTCCTTTGAGATACCAGGCGTTCTTTCGCTAGTATTCTTCATATTCAACCCGAGTGAGATTGCTGAACGAACAGCCAACGCGGTGATCTTCCAAGCTCTAATCAAACCATCAGAAGAACGTTCAAGTCAAACTCCACACCAACCGCACGGTGAAAGGGACAAAAAGAAGAAAATAATGAAAAAGGAAGCATACCGGTTAATTTGGTCTGATGCCATAAGATAGAAAGCAACCAAGGCCTCGACCTGTACTTGCTGAAGGTCGGGGTGACTAAAAAGAGCATCACCGTTCATGCTCAGGATCCGGGCCCGAGTTAAATACACTAAATGATCGTTGTCATCGCCACGCCACGGTGCCTGCGTTAGATGAGCATGTTTGGCGGAGATGGCGAATATCAAGTTAAGGATGGCCAGCCATTTATCACCAGGCCGAGCAGCACTGTCAAAAAAGGTTCTGTATTGGGCACGAAATAGGGTACGGCTGATAATAGGATAAAACGGGTGCACCGTTTCCAAGTAGTCTTCAAATAACTTGTCCGCCAAAGGACGAGAAGGAATCCAATACACCTGCACAGGGCCGGGAACCGAGACATCTAGATCGTCCAAATGATAATTCATCGAATGCAGGGCAAATTCCCCTTCCGGCTCGGCTTCGTAGCGCCCTGGTTCCTTCCGCGCGCGTTGTTCTGTCTCCATTCGCAATCTCTGCATCCAGGTAACCTCCGAGTTTTTCCCCATGTAACCAGTAGCTCGAGAATTTGGAGTTCGATTTACATCCTCGTCCACACGGTCGATGGCATCTAGGGATCCAATAGAAGAGGATGAGCTCAATTCTTCAAGGTGGCTGTCTTTATCTTGCGGCGTGGCTGAGCTAGACTGCGAGCCAGTAGAAGCCCGCTCGCCACCCGAGCCAGAATACTATGAGAGTGTTAGGGTCGGATGCAGAAATATAACGATATAATATATAAGAAAGTGCACCGACCTTATCCAGAGTGGTTCTAATTTGTTCCGCAGTCCTGCCATCAACTATGTTTCCGATGTCTCTCAATAGCTTCTCATACGCTTCGGCCTTTGTCGAGAGACTTTCCAATTGCCTAATATCGAAGTCAGCCGTCAATGACCGAGGACAAGAAGACACGGGTAGTCAACATACCCTTTGGTTCGTTCCCTCCATGATGCTGGGTACTTACAAGCCACCCTCAATTCTTTGCACTGTCTGCAAACTGGCGTGTCGCCGCTGCACTTAGTTTTCCGCCCCCGGCAGGATTCGCAGGCAAGAGGCACACGTCGACTGTAAGCAGAAATGACGCCCGTTCTCTGCCGCGGGATGGCCACTTTCGCATTGGTGGTTTGCTTCTTGTCGGATACGCTGCTTCGGGGAGGTATATTCGACAGTTGTGAAGTACGAGAGGCTGGAGGCTTCGAGGCAATCATAACTTTATTTTGAGGACCGGAAGAGTTGAGAGGAACCATTCCAGCCCGCGAGTTACCGTCATTTAACTGGGGGTGAATGGAAGGTGCGTCCATGTTGGGAGTCTTGAGATTTGCCGGAGGATGTCGCCACAAAGCGGCCGGGATGAATGGAATAAGACTACCAGGACAGATAGCGGTCCAATGTGCCTGGAGAACAATATTATGGCTCGCGCGGTTGGCAAGGTCTTCTCGTTCTTTCGGTTTGCCGGACAATGGCGTTGAATTCAATGCTTAAATCGACCATACAACGAGCGTTCGGACCAGTAGATGACCATGGTGCATAGAACTTAAAAAACGACAGGGAGATCGAGGCTGATTGTGGAGTAGGAACCGATCTTCTCTGTCCGCACTACTCGGCACTTCCACCAGCTTTACCAAGTACTAGAGAAAGGAAATATCATGGTGACGGGAACTCTCAGGGAACGGGACAATGATGGAAGATGGGAGGAATTGATAGATGCGAGCGGCGGGGCGGAGGGAGTCCTGGGCCTAAGGGGTATCTTCCAATCACCGGGCAGTTGTCGATACGATGACGACATTCACCACGTAGGTGGCTCGTCCATGCATTTCCTTTGCGCAAGCCCTATCCTAGGCAATGGATGAATCCCCACTACATAGTAGTAGTAGTAGTAGTAGTAGTAGTAGTAGTAGTCGTACTCTAGGCACTACAAGTCGTCCTGTCGGATCGCAAGATGGAAAGAATGCTATCGTCAAATAAAGTATAATGGTGAGCCACAAGCGCTAAATGTACATCAAGGCATCAGGCATAAATCTTCCGGCTTTCCTTCCCTTTCTTTTTCCTTTTTTTTTGACCCTTAAGACGTTTCCCCGGCCGTTGGCAGCAGCATCGGCCTCTTCTTTTGTTTTCCATCGCGCCGACTAGTAATCATGGCAATCAACCCCCGCAATAGAACGACGAAACAAGTACACCCAAACCAGTCAGGGGATATTAAAGTAACAGAGATAAGAAGACATGCAAGCAAGAAAAGAGAGAGCAAAACAGAGCAACAATATATGTACAGGTTAAAAAAGGGCACTCTGGCCAAGAGAGGTGAAACGAAATTCAGAACAAGCATTATCGGAGGAAACTGTACAAGATTAGAGTAAGAGGAAGTCAGGTAAGGCGGAGCGGTAGGTTGTAGAGCCAAGGCGTAATAGCAGCGAGGCGAGAGTGGAGATGAACGAAATCCTGAACCAGGCGTGAAAGTCTAGAGAAAAAACAAATTCCAGGTCTATCGATTGCGGTATGCGCGTAAATTACGTCGCATCCTCTGCTCAGATCTCTCCGAACATCTCATCGAGCTCGTGGACATCGACACTCTCGGGATTCTGCAACTCTCTCCAGGAATCGAAGACCATCTCGACATCTGTGTCTACCATGGTCCTAGGGGCTAGAGACAGCTTACTGTCCTGTTCAACCAGATCCGACATCTTCATATCGAGATCCGGAACTCCGCTGTTGAGCATGTCAATGGACCGCTTCATTGCCGAGACAGGTTCGATGATGAGGTCTTCGGGGAGACTGATCTGCGGTGCGCTTGCCACACTATCGGGGTTCGCCTCGACATCCAGACCGTCATCCGAAGCCACACTCGTACCAGACGAGAGTGACGAGGCCACGGACGTGAGGGATGGGGAGGGAGAAGTGCCAAACAGAGCAACCGCGGCTGCCTCGTCGAGGTCTTGCTGTTGTTGCAACTGCTCCTGTAGGGAAGGCTGTTCCACAAAGCCTCCGTGGGAGAAGTAGTCGCCATCCGGGCTATCGGACATGCGGTCCCCATGGATTGACGAGAGAGGACTATCTTCAACAGGAGTTCCAGCGATGCTCATAGCCCCATCATCCAGTTCACTAAGCCCCTCTGAAAGGGCCGAGAAGGGACCTTTGGCCTTTTCGAGCTGGTTTGCTTTTTGCTCCGAGGCCCGCTCGCGAACGGCACTGGCCGTTTGAGTGAATTCCTTCTCATCACCCTCCAGCGGAGGAGAAGCGGCCCGGTTCGAGTGCATGAGGCGCGCATGCTGATGGTCAAAATCAGTCGCACATTGTCTCGCCACGCTATCATCACGAGTGTCTAGATCAATATTCTCTTCCTCAAAGTCCGGGGGGGACAGATCCACCTCGGGGCTTGGGCTGAGGCGCGATCGTTCCCGCGCCAACGCGTCTTCCTCGTCCAGGTCAGCGCTGGACACGCTGGGAGTGATGTTCTTCCCCAGCACACCCGGGATGATGATATCATCCGAGTTCTCAGGGAGAGGTTGACGAGGTAGCGTTGTCAAGTAATAGTACACTTTGCGAGGGTGAACTGGAATGAGCTCCTTCGCCAGCGGACACGGTGCGAGCGCCGTCCACGGACGCTTCATGTATGTGCTCAACCGGGAAGAAAGGAGTGCGGCGGGATTTGCGGAACTGTAGCACATTGAACGATTAGTATGCACCTCAAAGAGCACTATAGGGGAGAGGGTCACTCGAAACGTACTTTGCGACATTCTCATTGAGCGCAACTAGGACGGCTGCGAGCTCTTTGACCAAATGCGGACGATTGCCTGTCTTCTCCAATTGCTCGATCACACCGACCACAATATCATCGTTGATACCCTCGGTGTCGATCTTGGGCGCGACACTTCCATCAATAGGCGATGGGGGTGGCGTTTGTTCAAACGCCCCGCGCCGACCAGTCAAACGTACAGGCAACTGCTCCTTCGCGGTCGATATCGACACCGAGGTAGGCTCTGGAGATAGTGAAGACGAGTCGTGCGACCTCTTTACTTTCTTGGAGGGAGGCAGTTGCTCGTCGGTCGCGTGTGGCGATTTCGAGGCCGACGGGGATCGGCGGGAGGCACTAGGGAGATGAATCCCTAGCGACGGAAGCGACAGTGACTTTCGACGTGTATTATAAGGCATGGTTTGTGAAGGAGTGAACTTTTGGTAGGGAAATTGTAGGATACACACGGGAAGATAGGAGTTCTAGATAAGACCAACAATAATAATAATAATAGCAGAGAAGTACAACCCAACTAAGCACACAAAACGACAAACAGATATAGTGATAACACAACTATGATACTAATAATAATAGTAGTAAAAATAAGAATAAGAATAAGTAGTAACACAAAGGGGGGGGATGAGGGGGAAGGAAGAGAATGTGTAAATGTGAGTGTGAGATGAGAAGGAGAAGTACAGGGAAGTATGGCGATGGGGGGGGGCGAAGAGGAAGTGGAAAGGGAGATGATGGAGATAATGATGCTGTGAGAATAATACCTCCCGACCGGGTGTACGGGAAGAATAGGATAATCACAGCGCAGTTCGTTGGCCAGAGTTAGGGACCTGATGGAGCAAGAGACATGCGCAGACCCAGAAAAATGATCAAAAAATAATAGTAATAGTAATGAGAATAAAATTCCACAGCTTTGAAGGAATCGTTGTTTGGCTGTGGATAGTTTTCTCGATCTTCACTTTTTTTTTTTTTTTTAGGAGGGCAGGAGGTCTGGAGGAGGCTAGGAGCAAAAAAAGAAAGACAAAAAAAAAACGAAAAGCGGGTGCTTTCCCGTGGCGTTTATTGGCTAGAATAACCAATGGGGCACTTTCTTTCTTTTTTTTTTTTTTTTCAGGAATGCCGGAAGGAGAAAAAAATTTTCTTGGTTGTTTTGGTTTTTCCTCCTTCAACATGTCTTCCTCTTTATCATTTTCCCCCTCGGTTTACCCCTCCATGTTGAATAAAACAAAAACAATGCATCTCATGCAATCCACCTTCACCGCTGAATGTTTGGCTATTGTGGCTCTAAAGCAAGTGCGCGCGTGTGTGTGTTTGCATGCCGAGAGACATACGGGTACGACCCAGAATGGATGGATGGATTCAATGCGGCCGAATGAAGGGGCAAAAAAAGTCCTGTGGGGCGCACCATGTGTCTATGACGACCGGGTCGAATATCTTCCGTGCTGATTGGCGGCGGGGAGACGGTGATCAACTGAGGTTCTGCATGGACGCTCTGATGGAGTATGCGCCGTGGAGCCCTAACAACCATAGTCAAGACTCAAGAGGCAATTCGGGTAACTTAGTCGTCCTCGACGTGGTTGCTGCGCAGGTATTCCGCATCGAGAGCAACAAACAAATCATCCATTGTATAGATTGAGAGACCGTTTAGTTTCGAGCTCTGACCTTCAGTCTAAATGCCGTCCTTACACCGTCTCCTAGACTGATTTTCAGGCTTTCCTCACCGACATCTGGACACCGCATTTTTAATCTACGTCTTATTGCCTTGATTTTCCAGTGATTTCCTTCCGAGTTAGCAAGAGTATACGGAGTCCGTAGGAGGTACAGAGGTATGCCAACAAAGAGATTACGATACATCTATCAGGATTGTGTCTCAGTCTCGAATGGGGACATTCAGCAATACAATCATTAGCTAGAACAAAGGAAACAGCTGCATCGTCTACGGGTAAGTGCATCATAGCTGAATGGATTCCATGGTACGCCATCCATGCCGCCGTAGTTTGAGAGAGGTGGGTGGATTTTTTCGATAGAGAACGGAATACCAAAAAGCAAAACAAAAAAAAAAAACAAGGAAAGGGTAAATTGGTTCAGACTAGAGTCAAAGAAGCCTAGGGGCGACCGTCTAATGCCATACATAGTATAGATTCATGCACCGGTTTATGCACTAACCTGGAGAGGGGATGGAACCCAAGAGCAAAAACGAGGCCAATCGCAGCATGAAAAGGTCCCCACCGTTGAAAGAGCGGGTTCCATGGAATCTCATTCCTAGCGCCACCGTTTAGGAAGCAATGGCAAATCAGATCGAATTGAGTGGAGTAAATACCGAGCCGTCTAGAAGATTTGGAAGGAATCCAATCGGATGGGCTAAAGGCGGCGCTATGTTAGTTTGCCCACTAAAGACTCGGAAAATGGAGATGTCGAGAAAAATGGAAATGGAAATTGGAATGGATCTGAATCCAGTAATAGCTTGCCACTGCGCCCAAGTGGAAGATGCCACGGTAAGGCTGTGTTGACTCGTCCATCCATCACTTATCATAGATCGAAAACATCATACACTGGTTGATCAAAGCGATCAAACTGCGGGTGTTCGCCCATGCATACATACAAGTACATGTACTACATACATCGATGGGATGTGTGATGTATCACCCGCACGCAAGGGATCAATTTATCCATGACGCGAGTCAACAATTCGGGGGCATGGATCTGTGTGTCCTCCAGAAGATATCCATAACAATGCATTGCTGTGCAGTTTACAGCGTACTTCTGTCGACTTATTACCTCTCACTCGTACTAGTAGTTAGTTACTTGTAGGGCTTTACTCAGAGCACATACTCTCTCTGTACACATACTACTAAAGTTGGATGGGATCATTCCCAGCTCGGATGTCAACCTTGTTGCCTGGGAAAGGGGGCCGTCCCTCCTGTGACAACCAAATAACTTAGGTTGGGGTATCCCTCTCCACAACTTAACCCTTTTGTTTCAAGGTGAGAGATGGAGGAGGGGGGGAAATCGAAAGAATTGGCCAGTCGACTTCTTTCTTTTCTTACTCTGGCGTGGGTGTATTATCTATCTACGCGTCCATACCTCGTCTTCATCGTCCCCCACCCTCCCAGACGGAATATTATGCAGTTTATCATGCGTCTTACGGCGACACGGCAGACTCCTTCAGCTTATGATAAATCTACACGTCTTCAGCCTTCTGGTCCAGCTCGACCCGACATGAAGGACGGTTGGAAAAAGAAAATGATATTCGAACCAACGACGAATCGCACAAGGAACCCAAAAACTTTCCAAGAACTTACTACGACATCACTGGAACCCTAGTTCAAAAGTCTATGGACAGTGGTGACATGGTTGATAAACCTTAAATGAGGCATCCAACCCAGAACCGGTTGTCCGTCTTTTCTCCGACCCGATGGAACGCTGGGGATCTTTCTGCGAGGGGGAAGCGTCCCAAAACCCCAGGCACAGGTACATGACAGTATATCTATCGGTGGCGTACATACACAACAAGATAGAACGTAACTGTTACCCCGCATGTGCATAACGCCATCTTGACCTCATCGAGAGGTTCTACACCGGTTCCAGGTCGTAACAGTACTAGTATTCTAGTTTCCGAGGCGATCGGCCATCGTCGCTTACTGAGTGCAGACAGATGTTCCCAACTCGGGCAAGAGGGCACGATGTTCGCCGTTTTCGTGGCTCCATATCGCGGAGGACATCGCTAGGTGGAAGATATTGATTTAGATTGATCTAGGTAGTATTTGCATCTCGCTGACGAACTACTTGCATTCGCGCGGTAAGGGTTTCGATCCAGTGCCATTGTCGCATGAAACTATCCCGGTCCCTTTCGTCACCTTGCCGCGATCTGATGGCCATCAACCCAGGGCAATGAGATCAGATGACCCAACGAGGAAGTCGACAGACTCTGGACGTGGCTGATCAACGACCGGGACGAACCCTTATATTGAATCGAGCTTAGTTACAGGGGAGGATCAACTTGACATAGAATTTATATCCCTATATATTATATTTTAATATATACCTAGAATGCTTTACACCAGTATCTATAGCTAGCTACCCACGTCCGTCTCATAGCCTCATCACATACATCGAACTCGAAGTGTAGAGTTCTCTAAATTGTTTGCTGGGTTACACCCATGCTGTATATATTACAGGACGGTTAATATACAAGACTGCCTACACCTAACCTCTAATTACCACGTGCTGGTTTCAGCACATATTTCCATGTAGTTCCGAAATGCCACCGTTTCTCCTCCACAATCTCCAGACCACTCTCCCGGACAATCGCTCCAATGTCTCGGTTCCACCAACACCCATGGCGGTCCGCATGGGCGGGTGCGAGATTGTCAAGGATGCGATTCAACCAGTCATAGTGCGACCGGCCGTGCTCTAAAAGCATGATCCGTCCCTTTTCCGGCTCAGTGATGGACCCCAGGTGGCGAAGCGCGCCAACAGGGTCTGGCATCGAACACAATCCCATAGTCTGGACGATCGTATCAAAATAAGCCCGCTTATCCCCAGTCGTTGGAGGAGCGACGTCCTTCACATCCTGTGCCCTGAAGTTAACATCCTTGAAACCGGGATGCAACTTCTGGAACTTCCCTCGCGCGATCTCTACCATCTGCGGGCTGAGATCGACAAACGTAACGGAGCGGCATCCCTGAAGCTCTACTTGCCCCCTCTCATTAGGCTTTCTCTGCTGTCCAAGTTCGTAATATCCCAGATTTCGACCCGTGCCACAGCTCACCTCGAGCACATTTCCACGGGCCTTCTGGACAAGATCTCGCCGCTTCTTCCCCATCCGCATTAGCTTCTCAGACATTTCGACATCTGCGTCGAAAGTCCTAGCTGTCTGGTTGTATCGATCCGATACATCCCTGGGCACGTCCATAGACTGCGCATGGGTCACTTCTCGCCTGTAGGAGGCGTATAGATACCCACAGTATGTGCTCATGCCGAGGATACTGACCCCTAGAATGGTCATTACTTTAGGAGACATGCGGGGCTGTGCCTCTTGAAGATTCAGGAGATGGGGGTTAGCCCGCTTCGGCAGCGGCGATGCTGCTGGCGGCTTCTTGCTGTTGAGACGGTTAGATAAACCAGCTTTCTATATATGCCTACCAGGGGAAGGGCGATTATTCCCGGAAGTATGCTGCATGGCTCACAGCAATCGAAGGGAGCATCATATACTGACCCAGGACCATCGACCGGAATCTTACTGCCGGTCCTTTTAGGACCGGTAACAGGCACTTTAGCCTTTAGCGCGGCCCGGCCTACTCGGGACGCGCTCATGCTGAGTGATTAAAGGGCGTGGGATGCGGTAATCATACGATGTTCATTCAATTGCCGTGGTTTTGAAGATCCTCGGGCCGATATATATCCTTTCTCGGGAAGCTTGACAAGCATTCAATTGAGAGTCTATTTAACAATAAACAAAATCACCCTTCAGGAGATGATGATCAATGCATATTCGACGCTATGGGGGTATAATTATATCAACATATGATTTTCCGGGGGTAATAGCCGATCAACTGAATTGGCTGGATCGGGAGTTGCGTTGCGGCCGAGAAAAAAAAAAAAAAGCCAAGCTAAGAGGCGATAGGGAGCCTATCAATTGTCATATCGCTAACTAAATCTTTGGTGCTCCTATATCGCTCCGAACATGGAGCCACTATTTTTTAAAGGTCCCCCGAACTTCTCTCTCCGCACCTTTTCTGCGTCTATATCCATTCTGCAGAAAAGGCGCAACGGAGTAGTTCTTTCTTAACGCTGTCATTCCAGTATAACGGCAACAGACATGGCTTTACCACCCAAAATCCTCATCGTAGGTGGAGGTGTCTTCGGATGTGAGTGATGGACATACTGAGCTGGTATTCCCTAATCTTGCTTTTGTTCTTGAGATTTACACAAGCGCAATGCCATTGACTCTTAACAAACCATCATTATGAGTTTACGGCTGCTGACTCTTTGTCCAACCACACAGTATCCACCGCTCTCTCCCTTTCCCGGAGGCACCCCACAAGCGAAGTCACAGTTCTAGAGGCGTCGCCTACAATCCCCAACCCCGAAGGCTCCTCAGTGGACGCCTCACGTATCGTCCGCGCTGACTACTCGCACCCTGTGTACACAAAACTCGCGGACGCAGCCATCGAGCGCTGGCGCAACACTGAATGGGGCGCCGAGGATAACCGATACATTCAGAGCGGACTACTTCTCGTCTACCCTGAAGGAAACACCAATGGCAAGGAATACGCCAGGAAGAGTTACAACAACGTCAAAGAACTGGGAAACGACGTCGAGCTACTGCCATCCAAAAAAGACGTCCTGCGAGTGGCGCACGCATACGGGGAGGAGTTGAATGTGGCGGGTGGCTACGTGAATTGGGGTTCAGGCTGGTCGGACGCCGAAGCCGGAGTTCGATATGCAAAGAAGCTTCTCGACACGGAGGGCAAGGTCACCTTCAAAACCGGGGAAGTCAAGTCCCTCCTCTACGCAGACCAACCCGCCGGTACCTCCCAGCGCAAGGTGACTGGAGTTCTCTTGGAAAATGGATCCTCCCTCACGGCCGACCTGGTCGTTCTCGCGACGGGTGCTTGGACGGGTAAGCTTGTCGACCTCCGCGGCCGGGCTCTCTCAACGGGCCAGGCGGTTGCGTTCGTCCAGATCTCCGACGAGGAGCAGCGGCGGCTGGAGAACATGCCTACTATCCTCAACTTCGCGACGGGCTTCTTCATCATCCCCCCGCGCAAGAATCTGTTGAAAATCGCTCGCCACGCCTACGGCTATGTCAACCCCAAGAATGTACCCGTTCCCGGGGTCGAAGGAGAAACGATGGAAGTCAGTCTGCCGGAACCCGGGGTCCCGGTTCCGTTAGAAGGCGAAGAAGCTCTGAGATCCGCCTTGAGGAATCTGCTACCTAGCATGGGTGACCGGCCATTCATCCAGACTCGAGTCTGCTGGTACACAGACACGTAAGTTGACTCTGAAAAAACCCATAGTGTGAATGCGGGAGATCTAACAAAAACCAGACCCGACGGTCACTTCATCATTACGTATCATCCCGACCACCCGAACCTCTTCCTCGCTACGGGTGGCAGTGGGCACGGGTACAAGTTCCTCCCGGTGCTTGGGGACAAGATCGTCGATGCCATGGAGGGTAAACTTGAGCCGGAGCTGGGCGAGATTTGGAAGTGGCCGGCGGCTGTAGTGGGTGAGTTTGAAGGTGATGGCAGCCGGTCTGGTGCGAAGGGCTTGCGGTTGATGGACGAGCTGGCCAAGACTAAGAAAGCACAGCGGAAGGGCGTCCTGTAATCGGGTGGTACTAAGACTGGACATAAAATATACCCCTGTAGATATACCTTGTATATAAAAAGCCCTATGAAAACTTTCTTACGTGAAACAGTGTATATGAACGTTAACTAGGAGGTTACAGAGCACTGATCTGTTCTTTACCGTTGAAGTTACAAGGAATGTGACCTGTACCAAGTACAGCGGCAGTTACATGAATAGATTACGAGGAACATGTTTGTATGGTTTTCACTCCATTTGGTTCAGAGGCTATCGAGGAAAATTAAAAAGAATCGTGCCACAAGAACCAGGTTCATTGCCTGATTCACCAACCAGCCAGTGCATTCGTCCACTTCCGTTAAAAGGTCTAGAGGAATACCGCAGGAAATTTGCTTCCCATTTGATCCATCATCTTCCGAAAGAGTCGTGAAAACAAATAGCGCTCAGAGAACCACTTCCATACAGACGGAGTCAAGATGAAAGGGCCAGCAGCCGATAGGCAAAAGAACGCAAAAACAAGTAATTAAGAGGGAGCAACCATCGACCAGCGCACAGTACCGCCCCCTTGAATCTGCGGTGTGCGACTTCTAATTGTAGAAAAAGACTTTAGTTTGTTGAAACAGACGACCAGAAACAAACCAAATCGCTAGAACGCCATAGAAATGCTAGCATAAGGAATCGTGATATGCGAGTTCGAGAATAAAGGCAACGACCAAGCCAACGCGACACGTCCTGCCTGGTTCATGATACAATCTCGCGGAGCAAGAAAAGAGACAACAAAAAGAGCAAATGTTAATACATGGGTGCGAAAGGTGAAGGGTAATCCCCCTATGCAAGCGAGCACCGACATTAGTCTTTTTAGACCTTACGGAAATCTTTTCGAATGGTTAGTAACAATGTTACGAACGGGTTGGAATGCAAGGTACTGTACCAGAAAGCACAGGGTAGATTAGCTCGAACGCCTGGTAGATCTCTTCACGGACCTTGGCGCCGGTCAAGACAATCTTGCCACTGACGAAGATCAAAAGTACGATCTTGGGCTTCATCATACGGTAGATGAGACCAGGGAACAGCTCAGGTTCATAAGAACTGAAGTTGTGGTGGCGACTAGCCAAACCTTCTAGGCGAATAGGGAACTTGATGTCACAGGAGCCGACAATGTTCTGGATCTTGAAATCCGTGAACTTGGCATTAAATCCGAGCTTTTGGATGATACGCGCGTACTTCCTGGATGCCAGCTTCGAATCATCCTCTGACTTGGCACCAGTGACAACCATCTTGCCCGAGGCAAAAATCAAAGCGGTGGTCTTGGGTTCACGGATACGCATAATCACGGCCGCGAAACGCTAAGAAAAGAGCAGTTCAGCCACACTATACCCTGAAAATCAAAGCTCAGGGAGGCGTGGGATGCAATACCTTTGGATTGTACTCCGCATTTCTTGCGTGGAGCGCAATAGTCTTCAAATCCAGGCGACAGTCAAGATTTACAGTAGCGACAATATTTCTTAAGAAAGAAGATCCTTGTTCAGCATTCTGGTATACCAGAAGAGACAGCAAGAGTATACTCACTGCAACGTAGGCACAATGCCACTCCCCGGAGTATTGGCACCTGGAGTTGCAACAGGAGTAGCGGGTGTCACCCCGTTGCCGTTGGTGGCATTTCCTCCCTGCTGCTGGCCGTTCACATGTCCGTTTGCACCCTGAAGGCTCATCGCCATGTTTCCATCTTTATCGGAAGGTGGTGTCAAGTCACCAGCACCACCGGGAAAGGACAGAGAGGCAGGAGAAGTGAAGGCCCGGGCCTGCTGCGCGGTGGAGGGATGGGTCGTGAGAGAATCCATTGCGACGTGAGTAGATGATACTCGAGCTGTAGACCAGCCAAAAACTGATTGTATACGAGAGCTTGGATTGGCAGTCTGTTCCCGAAGGACAGTCAGTCAACGTGCAACTCCAGTGTGATAAGAGGACAGGTAGGTAGCATGATCCAAGGGTAAGAATATATTGAGTGAACATATACATAGATGTATGCGACAAGTCGGTCTAGCAACAACACCACATGACCGCCAAGTGAGGCAATATGCGGTCAAAGAAGGCAGAAAAAAATTTTTCGCAGAGGGAAAGCAAGAAAACATACCCTTTGTGGAGATGGACAACTCAATGTCTCCCCGACAGCAAAGCTGCCTTGTAGTTGATCACAGTAAACCGCTTCGTGTAGAAGCGAAACGGGACTGAGTTCAGGGTGAAGTCAAGCAAGACCTCCAACAAGAACAACAATAGAGATGTTGATAGACAGGAAGGGAGAAGGGAGACCTGACCAACAAGCCAAGTATTGCAAGGTGATGTAGAGCAGAGAAGGGAACTAGAAAAGCACAGTGAAGTGTTTTCTAGGATATTAACTCAACAGGGTAACTGTCACAACTATGATGGGGAAAGAGTAATGGACAGCAACGTGAAGGGAGCGGACACAAGAAAGAATATGCGCTTTTTTTTTGGGCAAACAAGGCAAACAACAAAACTTTTTTTTCCCTTTTCTTTTCTTTTCCTTTCCTGGAAGTTCAATGTCTATCTGTAAAAAGAGAGAGTGTGTTTGTTTCTTGCAGTGTGTCGTAAGAAGATGGACACCTGAGGAGTAGAGCAAGGTTGTAAGCTTCCCGTTTCAGTAAGTGAATCTGAAACTGTGGAAGAAAAATATTTTGTTAAATATTTTTCTTTTCCTTTTTACAACCTCCTAAAAAAAGATTTCTTCCCGGAGTCTTTTAGCCACCAAAGCAGAGGATGCTGAAAGCAAAGCTCTGCGACCTGTATCAGGCGGAAGTGTGGAGAGATAGAGGTAGAGGGGAGGGCGGAGAGAAGACGACTGTATGGCGTTCCGGGGCGGTGCCAAGACCAAGATCAAAAATTCCAAGAGCATCAGAAAGTGGGAGGTTGGGCCTTTATATAGGCTGACTCACAGTTGCCCGAGAGTGCTGGCGTCAGGGGGGGGCTGGGCCCGGCGACTGGTGGGCGGCAAAAGCAGCGACGGACGGTCGCGCTCATCCATGGATTCACTCAGACTCTCACTGAATTAGCGCTCCACTAGCGGCTCTTGGGTGGCCAACCCTTCGTCCCAGTGCGATTCCGTCATCTCTGGTTTGTTGATCAACAGGCCCACTCAACGCAATCTGTTTGGGAGCCCCACCAGGTCGTACACGCTCTGTTTGGCTGTTGCCCCCTTACGTATTCTCCCGGTCAGCGCCATGGTTGCAGCCACTGTCGCTTCCTCCAGTCCGCTGTCCTCCTGCTCTCGACGTTCGGTCCCACCGCGCAGCCTATCCATTCCCTTTTTCTTCCAATCATTCCGCGTTGCGGTTCTCGGGGTTTCCCTCACGACGCGCCCTCGTTCCTTTCACCATGCCGCTTTAACTGTAGGCAGCTGAACAAAAATTTCGCCGCTCCCTCTTCCTTTTCCATGGACACAACTTCTTTCCATCGGACTCCTTCTTTCCCTTTACTTTTCTTGCCTTCCTCGGTAAGTAGAGTTCAGAAAAAAAAAATTATACATCATGGCTGAGCGCCCCTATACTATAAAACAAAAAGAGATAAAGGGCAGAAGAAAAAAAAGAAAGAAAGAAAGAAAAACACAAACTTGAAACCTGATCCTCCCTCCCGGCAAAGACTTAAGGGTCGACAGGTAGAAAAAGTCTGCCGTCTCATCCGTAGAGGCTACGGTGTCCTAATTGGACCCTCAACAAGCGCCGCTCGGGACACGGTGGCGCCGACCGCTTTTCCCCAGATCTTTAGCCAAATTTGTGATCCACCGAACTTGCTTTTTTAAACAGAAATGCACATCCCATGATCTGTCATATTATCATAAACATCCGATTTTGTACAGGTGTTCACTCTTCAGTACAGTATTTCCTTTGATAACGCATGGCTTGGTATTTTACATGCCTCGGCGGTATGCTGAATACCATACACCCCATACAGTTGAACGAAACAGTGAAGAGGTGCCCTTTGTGTACATTATTAGGTGTTTGTCAGCATTCCAAAAGTCTTCAACAACACTTTGGGTCTGCAAGTGTGTATGCTGGACCAGTCGTAGTTTCGAGTCCATTCCAGGAATGAAGCTTTTCTTGAACAAAAAGGACGCAAGGCTCGGATGCTGGCGTTTCTTTTCTCCGTCTCATCACATGCCACATCGACAAGAAAGCCATTCGCTGCTACTACTCCTACTAGTACTAGTCTCCGTGCAGTACGCACGAATGGAATGCTTATTTGAATTCCAACTTCTTTTTCTTCCTCCATGGAACTTCACGTGAGATCTTCGTTCATGTGATTGTATAGCTAGTTGACTACTACTACTAGTACCTAGCAGGGGCCGTTTCCTTATCGGTACACCGAGCGTTGAACCTGCACAGACTCTATTACATCTTATCTGGTGAGAATCGATAAGCCTGTATCGGCATCCATATAGATCGAACCGCGGCTCTATGCCCCGGATGTCTCAAGGGGAGGGATACAAGTAGTATGCTATACTTATCGGCTGTATGTCCCCGGTCCTCTGACGGATAGCCGGCCAACAGCGGAACAACGAGGCGGATGTGATTCCTATTGCCGCGATTCCTATTGGCCGTCCTTACCTCGGGTAGGCGGTAACTCAGACTGACCACTAGCCTCCCGCTAAAAGAGGACTTAGTCACCTTTTGATCTTTGCCGGTGACGGAGGGATTTGACCTTGAGTGCTCCAGTACCGATTCTAACCATTCGATCCAATTCCCCTCCCCTCGGGTCCTTTTAACGACGCTGTATACCCCTTGCCATGCATTTGTTCCGCATATAGGACCTCCAAACCGTGTGCTAATCTATTACCACCCTGTTTCCTACCGTTGCGATGGCTTCGAAAGGAGCCGTTTGGCCTCTTTTGAGGCGCGAACTGCGACCAGCTGCCTCCCGATTCTCAAGAGCTTCTTTCTCATCTGCCGCGGCCCCTCTTCGGAGCTCTAGAAGCTCGGCTTTGGCATCAGGCCGGAGGACAACCCGTCAGGCAGCACTCTTCACACCAAGTCGGACTCTCGGCCAATTTCGATGCTTCTCACAGTCGCTATCCAATAAGCTCACAGACGAGGATGGCCATTTTGATCCCCGCCAAGTGGAGAGGGAATCAGACGAGGTCGATGTTTGTATTGTTGGTGGCGGTAAGGATCCTCCCTTTCACTTTGCTCGGTATCCTACTGGAAGATCTAGGTAGCTAACAAAAATTCTCTACCGGTCAGGCCCTGCTGGTCTTGCCGCTGCGATTCGCCTAAAGCAGCTGGCTAATGAAGCTGGTAACGAAGAGTTTCGTGTTATTGTGTTGGAAAAGGCTGGCGAGATAGGCGCACATATTCTCTCGGGCAATGTTCTAGAACCGACCGCTATCAATGAGCTTTTACCAGATTGGCTCTCGGAGGATAACCCCTCAAGATTCGAGGGTGCCACACCGGCCAAAGGAGACAAGATGCGCTTTTTAACTAAGAACTCGGCAATTCCAATTCCTGCGCCACCGCAGATGAACAATCACGGCAATTATATCATCAGCCTGAACGAGTTGACCAAATGGCTGGGTGAGCGAGCCGAGGAACTGGGTGTGGAAATCTACCCTGGCTTTGCTGCCAGTGAGATAGTCTACAAGCCTGATGGATCGGTGCTTGGAGTCGCAACCAACGATCTCGGAATAGGCCGTGATGGCAAAGCCAAGGAAAGTTTCGAGCGTGGTATGGAGTTCCACGCTCGTATAACCCTGCTGGCAGAGGGTTGTCATGGTAGTTTGACAAAGCAGGTTATCAAAAAGTATGACCTCAGACGCGATAGCCAACCGCAAACCTATGGAATCGGTCTGAAGGAAGTCTGGGAAATTCAGCCGGAGAAGTTCAAGTCGGGGGAGATTATTCATTCTTTGGGCTACCCGCTTCCTAAGGACACCTATGGTGGATCTTGGTTGTATCATTTCGGTGATAACATGGTCAGTGTTGGGATGGTGGTTGGTCTTGATTATCCTAACCCGTGGCTCTCGCCATATGGGGAGTTCCAGAAGCTCAAGCACCACCCTCTCTTCAAGGAGGTGCTGGAGGGTGGTAAGTGCATTTCGTATGGTGCTAGAGCCTTGAACGAGGGTGGCTTCCAGTCGATCCCGAAGTGTGCATTCCCTGGCGGTGCCCTGATCGGTGACACTGCTGGATTTTTGAATGTTCCTAAGATCAAGGGTACCCACTCGGCTATGAAGTCGGGTATGCTGGCTGCTGAATCCGCTTTCTCGGCATTGCAGGGTAAGGCGGACGATGGAACCGTTTTCCTATTTGACTATGAGGATGCTCTTCGAAAGTCGTCGATCTGGAAGGAGCTGTATGAGGTGCGCAACATGAGACCTTCCTTCAGTACTCCGCTCGGCCTTTACGGTGGCATCATGTATTCCGGGTTGGAAGCCTACCTTTTCAAGGGCAGGACCCCATGGACGCTCAAGCATCACGGTACAGATGCTGCAGCCACCAAGCAAGCTTCTGAGTGCGAGAAGATCGAATACCCCAAGCCGGATGGCGTAATCAGCTTCGATATTCTGACCAGCGTCAGTCGGACCGGGACCAATCACGAGGAAGATCAGCCGGTACACTTGCAGGTGGCAGACTGGGACAAGCATAAGGACATTGCTTGGCCTAAGTACAAGGGGGTTGAGAACCGGTTCTGCCCCGCTGGAGTGTATGAATATGTTGAAGATTCGACCAAGGAGCACGGTGTTCGGTTCCAAATCAATGCTCAGAAGTAAGTGATTCCCGACTTTCTATTTTCTTTCTTTCTTTCTTTCTTTTGTTCGGTACTAATCTTGCCTTTAGCTGCATTCACTGCAAGACCTGTGACATCAAGGTGCCAACACAAGACATCAATTGGCAAACCCCTCAAGGTGGTGAGGGTCCTAAATATTTCATGACCTGATCGACTCCGGTATTGGAACTAGTAGGTATGGTCTCCACTAGGTAATTTCCACTGTCGTATTTCGCCTTGTATAAAATAAAAGCAGCTGATTGGATTGGGCCGGGTTACTGTATATAGATTTTGTTCAAGTATCTCTGTTTCTTCTTTTATGGTAGTGACTTACTTCACAATATATTCTGGTGGGATAGAGAATGGGAACCACAGAAAACCAAATAAAAATAATATTTCATAGTATGATCCCCTACAGATGAAGTGGAGGACTTGGTACTGCGACTTTACAGCAATCTACCTCTAATCGGTCTTGCGGCTCAACCCCGTGGGGATTTGCTGGGACGGAACCGTGGAAATACCTCGAAAGGTACGGTGTATTCCGAGTATATCCTGCGCAGTAGGACCCATTTGGATGTATGTACATACAAACATACATACAAACATGTACTCCGTACCAATACCAGTGAGGATACAATACCATGTTATGACATCTCACAGGCAATGTGCATGTAATCGATGACTTCGGTGTGTGCGATTCAATCTCTTCTCGGAAAATAAGAGAGAGAACCTTGGAGAGAGAGAGAGAGAGAGTAATAGTATCCTTTATTCTCCGAGCCAGAAGCTACAGTTGACCGTCATGAACCCCTTGACTAGTGTCTGTCTAGATTGAATGCATACACAATACTGCTCTTTTTCTATTTTCCATTGATGCATACAGTCTGATTGGAGGTCAACACAAGGCTGGCATTTCATTGATTGTCCTTGGCTGTCGGCGGGGCCACGTGGACCCGCCAGCAAAAAAGTGAGGCGAAGGCTCTCGTCACGCTGTTTGGCTCAACTGATTTTGCATTGTTTCCCTCCAGCTGGAAAGCTCCAAGAGACAAGTCACTTTGCCTTGGTCACTGTTGGTACGGGGTACTTGACGTCTCTTTTCTCAGTTTATTTTTAAACTTTTGGTTCTTGCCGTTTCGCCTGGCGGTCAACACAGACCATCTCTCTGTGTCTTTCTCTTTTACTCTGCCACCCTCTACCCTTTCCCCTCTCCTTATCCTCCTCTCGCGCACTCTCTTCGTTCTCTGCTTCTGCTATCTAGCTTTAGTATTCTGTTGGCCGATAATCTAACATTGGAAGGGTCATCCTTCAGCGATTTAAGTTAAGCCACCGAGATCCCCATTGCCCTCTAATTAGGCGCCACCAGCAACCTTCTGGACCAACGTCCCACTTGGGGATTCAGGAACAATAGCCATTATTCCGTTAGGACCGCGGCCCTCTTGATACCAAGGTCTCGTCTTACCCCTGGTTTACGTCGAATACCGCCGTTTTATCTGGAAGTGATTTTCTTCGTCGTTGTCTTTTGGCCGTTGCGGGTCCTGAGGCCAGAACTATCTTACTCGGGTTTCTCATTGATCAGTACTAGACGCCATTCTTCTTTGCCCGTCATGACTGAAGTGTCGTCCACACGACTTTATCTCGGGAATCTTCCCCGCAATGGTATGCAGCCGTTTATCAATCCCCTCTGAAAGGTACCCCTCGATTCTCCAGCCCGATCGGAATGTTGCCCATTTAGTCTGCTGCGCCCCAAGTACCAGGATGCTCCGATGGATCGCCAAGGCTCTCCTCTCATTTGGCCCTGATGCGCAACAAAGGGACTTGCGCTGCACCCGCTGTTTTCTCTCAACGCTCGCCAGGTGCCTGGCTGATAGAGGGAACTGGCACTTATTCTTTGTCCCTCTTTCATTTGTTAAAGCACTTCCAACTCCGGATTGGCAACCCATAACACACTCTGGATAACTTTGTTATATTTGATTGCAATGAGCTAACCTTTTCTCGCGGCGCCCTGCGTGGGCGCATGGGAGGTCTTCAGTCACCAAGCAGGATATCGAAGAACACTTTAGTACCCATGGCTCCGGAAAGATTACTGAGATTAAGCTTATGAATGGTTTCGGATTCATTGAATACGAAGATGCGATGGATGCTAGAGATGTCGTACCAGGTAGGAGCTTGGCCCCCGACGGCGCGTATATATGGCTAATATTATTATTCTTCAGCGTTCCGTATGTATTCAGTTTCGCACCGGTTCCTGGGGTAATTGCGCTTCTGACCAAATCCTCTATACAGATGGCAGTGATTTCAAAGGCGAACGACTCACTGTACAATTCGCGAGGGGGCCACGTCGCAAGGAGAACTTCCCTGGCCCAATGGACCGTCCTAATATGCCTCGTCCCCGTCGCACGGTCTACCGTATGATGGTTTCTGGACTCCCGGAAACAAGTTGGCAGGTTAGCAGCCCATGTCTATTTTTCTCAGGATTCCCGGAACGCCGTGCACTTTGGCCAATAAGTGCATGACAAGCTGCCCCGCTTTTCCCCCGATTTTCCTTTGTCTCTTGCCCTGTTCGCATGGATAGCACTCCCTAAGGATTCGACTCGGCCATGGTACAACCTCCTAATTATGGCATTTGGATATCCTCCCCGGTGGAGGAACGATTCCAACCCTAGCACCCACAGTACTTCCAAGGCACGCTCCATGGACCTCAGCTGCCTTGGGAGCTGTGGTAGGCTAGGCGTTGGAAGATCCCATTTGGACGGAATACCCACTAGCAGCATGGATTTAGGCCGTTTCTGGAGCTCCCATTAGTTTGGTGAAACCGTGGCTCGAATCTGTTTCCTTTTGTATTCTGTTTCATGCGTCCCCGTTGGATATTCCCGGACTCCACTATTGCACCAGGAAATCAACTCACACCACGGAATTCTCTAGGACCTTAAAGACTTCGCACGTGGAGCGGGTCTTGATGTCGTTTACTCGGAAACTGGCCGTGAACTTGGCAGAGGGTGGGTGAATTCATAATAACCAGGACGGCTCTAGGACCCTGTTAACACTAATCCTCAAGGTTCGTTGAATTTGAGACTGCGAATGACCTGAAGACTGCCATTGAGAAGCTCGATGGACGTGATTTCAAAGGCTCCCGAGTGAGCTGCGTGGCAGATGTAAGATCCAAATTGCGCCTAAGGAGCTGGGATGAGGTCCTCATTTTGAAATCCTTTAGATCCAGCCTGTTGACGAGCGCCCTTTCCGTGATCCTTACCGGTCTCGGTCCCCTCGCCGGAGCTATCCACCCGTAGATGAGTACGACCGGAGATTCCCTCCACCTCGGGGCTACAGTCCTCGTGCTCATTACCGGGAGCGGTCACCAGTTCCAATGCGCCGGGATTACTATGACCGCGATGGCTATGGACGCCGTACGCCCCCCCGTCCCCGTATTGATGATTATCCACCTCCACGTCGACCCTATGAAGACCCCTATGATGTCCGTCCACCGCCGCCTCCTCGGTATGAGGATCCCTATATGCCACCAAGGCCCTACGGACGGCCTCGAAGTCCCCCACGGGGTGAATATGTGCCCTATGACCGTCGTGGTTACTGGTAAATACCTGTCTCTCGTGATTTGGTTGTCTTGAATGCATGGCGGATACCCATGTGCTTTGTGTTCATTCCCCCCGTTTTTTTTCCTTCCCGTGTTCCTTTGTGCTTGCTTGATTCCACTTTCCCCTACCTTTCAAAAGGAATCGGTTGCGATCCCAACCTACCCTCATTTCCTGGAATGGACGCACCGAAGATGCGACGTGCCTGTTGTCGAAAATTTCTGTTTATTGCTTGACGTGAGGACAATTTCTGAGGCCCTTGAGCACTTACTAGAAACCCCCGAAATTCAAAGGAAAAGGTATGCGACGACAGTCTAGTTACTGTCTATCTCTTAGCGCCCCGCACGCTTTCTTCGAGATGTGGTACATTTTCCTGGTGGTTGGCCAGCGCTGCGCCGGGTGTTGTGGATAGGGCCATCTTTTGTTCCTGCGGCATACATGATTCCCTGATATGATATGATATGGACCAGTTTACGAGGATATTGTACATTGACCAACCAAGTCTATCGCTTGTTTACTCTACGGGAGGTCTGGATGTGTATTAATAGGATTACCGGAGCTACCGTTATGGAGTCACTGACCGATGAAATACGTAAACACATGCGCGGGGCACGGACGGGTGGTAGGCCCCGTATCAATTTCACCCCGAGTGCCCGGAGTGCTGAAGTAGTATGGATGTACTATCTAACTTTTGTTGGCTTATGAAACAGTGGCGGATGACCAACTCCAGCCGGGGTTCACTGAGCTGGGGCGAGAAATTTGGGTGGAGATAACTCTAAGTTGATGTGGTGTTCAGTTCATACCGGCGTAATATTTGTCGAAGCTCCCCGCGCTAAAGAACCCCACCATCTTTCTTTCTCAATTCTCCGGACACAGAACCACGAGAAGCAACCGCAATTGATCAAGAGCTGCTTGCGTTGGAAAGTAGTCTAGGCGAATTATCTGTTCCCTGCGATGAGCATTTGCTAATTCTTCGGTACAACTTTTCTACCAATTGTTGTCAGAGACATTCAGGTGTACTGACGTCAGAGCTATCTTAGCTTTCGCTTGCAAGGACGCCAGCTGCGAGCAGAGAACCACCCGCCCATCTTTTCTCTTTCTTTCTCTTTTGCTTAACGGTTACCAGCTGTGAGCTTTTATTACGATTACAATGGCTGAACAGCGAGTGAATGTTCATATACCGTCTTACCCTGCCGTCCTAGATAGCGTGCGACTCCGTGATATTGAGCTCCCTCTCCCTGCTGCACCAGAGGCATGGCATCGGCTTGGGAAGTCGCAGCCGTGCACTGCATCTCTGAAATTATCTTACTCGTCGGCCGTTGCATCCGCTAATGCGGATGATGTCTCTCTTTCTATCGACTATGGGAAGCTTTACCGCCGGTTAGAAGAAGATATTCGCAATATGGGGCAGCATGAGGAACATCCAGGGAAACGGATGATTAGCCTGGAAGGCAACCGACGAAATTCGATGATGAAGAATGATGCTGGTCAGGATGTGCGACTGACAGCAGCCATTGTTGCGAACTGCAGCTTAGGGTTACTCGATGAGACTACGGCCGGGGTTAGGAGAATGTCACACTTGCACAATGCCGCCAATCAAGCACCACCCTTGGCATCCCCCATTGACGGCGTCTTTGGTCGATGTGAGGTTTGGCTAAATCTCCCCAAGGCCCTGCTGCGCGCGGAAGAAGGCCTGAAATACCGCAGCGTCACGGTTTGGGGTTACAAGCAAGACAACGAAGTCGTGGGCAATCTTCAGGACTCTGAACGGTGCCCTGTGGTTCTGGAAGAAGAATTCCGCATTGACGGTATAAGATGCCATTGTATCCTTGGTGTCAATTCCCATGAGAGAGTTGAGAAGCAGGCTGTGATCGTTTCGCTGGAGTTTAAAGGCCCGGGCCAGTTGGCATGGGGATCAACTGTGGTAGACACTTACCAGGAAATGACTAGGACTGTCGCAGAGGTTAGTTCTTTTATTTTTTTTGTCCGTACCATCAAGGTGCAGTTGTCTATGCTGGGCCGTTACTAATTTGAGATATCCACGTCTGGTAGCGCGTTGAGGAAACCACTTTCCAAACCGTGGAGGCACTAGCGACTTTTGTCGCGCGCATAGTGACAGTTGAATTCGCCAACGAGCGCGTGACAGTTCGAGTAGAGAAGCCTAGCGCGTTGGCCTTTGTGGGAAGATCAGGCATAGAGATCACCCGGTCCCAGTCATTCTTTGAAAGATCTGAGATGGATGGAGGGCGGGTATAGAGCCTAGTCTTGCAGCTTGCTATACTCAATATCCTCTCCGCGGTCCGCCCTAACACCGTCCATGACGTCACTTGAGACCTGCGATGGACTCCGCAGCCAATTCGTAGTCAGATCTACCAAGCTACTACCAACATAATTGTAACGGTTGATGTTTCTGTCTGTTGAATGAGGTAAAAGTAGGACCCAATGACTGCCGCACGTGAAGACCCGCGGTCCCTGATCGGGTTAGTGCCGCTTAGCACCGGAACACGCTGATTGGCCCCCGGGGTACATGGCCAAGCTGACTTTTTTTTTAAATCAAGTAATAATAATTAACATCTCCTCCGACTGGAAGCCCCAAGCGGTCACACTTTCTCGCTCGCTCTCTCTCTTCTCTCTCTCTCGCTTCCTCTTTGTAATCCAGGAGTTGGTCCCGGAAGACAATCCCATACTTCCTTTCTTCGGTGTCCCCGGATATTAATCCATTCAATAATCACAAACATTCGTACTGCCACTTCTCTATGTGCTTGTCTGCGCCCACACTTTTACACTCCGATATCGTTCGCTTCGCTGGCCGCGCTGCCAACGCTCGCTTTGTTTCCCTGATCACCAACAACAGCTCGACTGGTGTATACTCCCTAGGGACTACCGCGCTGGCTGGATCTCGGGTTGTATCATCTGCCCGGTTTCCCGAACCCTCTGTCGACAAGGTGAATTGGCTAGGGGTCCTTGGTCCGTCCTGAACAAGGGCGGACGGTAATTTGCTGCTTTTGAGCATCCGGTGCAATCAGTCAAGCCCACCCGGCTGAGCAGAAGTAGGATCTATCGCGAAAAAGTACGCGTGGTTCATAATTGTTTACTCCCCTTGCGTTGGTGTTTCGCAACTCTTGCCCTGAATACCCCACTTTCGTGCGTCCGAGGGCAAAACCGGTCTAACCTGTCTGTTCCATAATCAGATACTTCTTGATAGGTCTCACAAGTGCATATCGACTGATCTATGCCTGAGTGCATGTGATATCTCTTCGTTTACGCATTGTGCTTATCGGTGCCTCTTCGCTTTTAGATCTGTCGTCATTTTGGGTGTGACATTCCCTTTTCGGATAATCTTTGGATAACGCAAGGAAAAGGGAGATACATCAAGCTTTAGTGAAGAAAAGCAAACGAAGATGTCGAGCACATTGCAGGATGATCTCTCGGTCGGTGACGTCTTCAGCCCTCAAGCTGACATGTCGCAACCCCGCGATGAGGTCAGCTTGAACAGCAACCAAACCGTCAGCTTTCGAATGAGTGATGCTAGCCCTGACCGCAAACAAGGGCTTTCCGAGAAGGGTGCCCGTGGAGGCAACCCTTTCCCAGCACCGAAACTGAATGCGAATCCGCTCCCCGGAAAGGTAGACCGACGAAAGAAGAAAAAGCAACAAGCCGCCCCAGCAATCTCCACCGTTCGTGGTTTTACCCCCTTGGGTTCTGGCGATGAGGACTCGGATTTCTCGGCCTCTAGTTCACGCGCGCTGCGCTCTTCAGCGCGACCGGGTAATAGCCCAATGTCACAGCCAGCTTCAGGCCATGGTGTTAGCGCTTTAAAACTTCAGCTCGATTCGCTGAATTTGTCCGGAGACCGCTCTCTCCAAGGCGCGCCAAGTGATATCGGTTCCGAGGCACAAAGCAACGCAAGTGTATGCTCGGACAGTGACCAAACAGAGGTTCTGACCAGCTATGAGGTGCCTCTGGAACACGACTACGTCAGCGCTGATGCTGTAGCAGAGGAGAAGTCGTACAATACGTCAAGTGTTACGGATATGCGCACCCAGCTTTGCCGGAAGATGACCACAGACGACTTTGAGCCCCTACTCTGTCTGGGCAAAGGCTCTTTTGGTACCGTCCTGTTGGTGCGTCATACGCTCACAGGTAAGCTTTATGCTCAGAAACAGTTCCAGAAGGCCTCAATCACCGTCCATAAAAAGCTCGTGGAGCAGACCAAGACAGAACGTATGATTCTGGAGAGCGTCAACCGCCATCCGTTTGTTGTCAAGCTTTTCTACGCTTTTCAGGACCATGAGAAACTCTACCTCATCCTGGAATACGCCCAAGGTGGCGAGCTATTCACGCATTTAGCCATGGAGCGCATGTTCGATGAAGATGTGGCGGCCTTTTATATGGCGGAAATGGTCCTTGCGCTCGAGCATCTGCATCAGAACGTCGGTGTGATTTACCGTGACCTGAAACCTGAAAATTGCCTTTTGGACCACGAGGGCCACCTTCTGCTGACGGATTTCGGTCTTAGCAAGATATCTGCCAATGATGATGACCGCTGCAACTCTTCGCTGGGGACCATTGAATATATGGCCCCAGAGGTCATCCAGGGCAAGCCATACGGCAAAGCTTGCGACTGGTGGTCCCTTGGGGCATTGGCATACGATCTTCTCACAGGATCACCCCCGTTCAAAGCCAATAACAACGCCAAGCTGCAGGAGAAAATCCTGAAGCAGAAGCTAACCCTGCCCTACTTCCTTGGCCCGGACGCCAAAGACCTGTTGACCCGTCTCCTTCGCAAGGAGCCATCCAAGCGTCTTGGATACCATATGCCCAAAGATCTCCAGACGATCAAGAACCACCGGTTCTTCCGCAAGATCAACTGGAAAGCTCTTGCGCGCCGTGCAGTCACACCTCCGATCGTCCCTGTTGTCACGGATCCTGCACTTGCCGAGAACTTCTCGGACGATTTTACTCATCTGCCACTGAGCCCGATCGTTGCTTCTGCCGGCTTCGATGATCACTATGCCGCTCACCAGCGCAGCAGCCAGCGTCCCATGTCATCTGGCTACGACGTCATGGGAGAAGAGAGCAACCCCTTCGGAGGATTCAGTTTCGTCGCTTCCAGCAGCTTGCTTGATCACGGACTGGGCATCGCGACTAAAGGGTTTTGACTCGCTCTGCGCGTCCCTAGCCTGCGGGACGAAACCCAGACTATGGCAACGGGTATCTTTCGTTTGTCCGTCTATTTCCACGGGACAGCACTGGTAAATCTAGCTTCAATGGCATCCATACTGGCTTCCGTACACATATCCTTACGTCCCCTGCGTAGTTTTTCATCTATAACGTATATGTGTCGGATAGAATTGCTCCAAATTTTGCGACAGACCAACACCCACCCAGAGCTACAACGATGTATTATACTAACGCCAGCCAACCAAAGCAGTGTAACAGAAGTAGCCAGTAATATTGACCTAGGTAGCAATAAATTACAAACATAATTTCCTAAGTTTTCTTTTCTGTTTCTTTTCGTCTTCCTGTAATGACATTATATCATCGAGATATTCAAACCGATGATTCTGTATACTTCGTTTTGCCCCCATCCACACTACGTAGAAATATTTACTGTACAGTGTAGCTAACGAACCCGCCGGACTAAGAATAGACGATGGAATAGGATGTCCAGTGATATAAGCCATGTTATAGCAAAGATATAGCTGTTTTTAAGGTGTTGTAAAGATGCAGAGGAGTCCGTAAAGAACTTATAATGACTATAGCTCGCCCTCTTCGCTTCCTCCGCCTTCTTCGTCCTGGTCTGGTGGCGGAGGAGGCGGGGGTGGTTGTTGGTTCTGGGGCATATCGGAGGAAGGAGGAGGGGGTGGTGGAGGGTGTTGCTCGTCGGCGGATTTTCTGCTGGTGGAGGAGAGGTCTGAGCGACGTCTTCGACTGGAGTCTTCGTGTTCGCGGTATCGGTCTGAGTTGCGTCGGTCTCGGGGCGGGGGTCCGCCTTGGGGAGTGGTCATGTTTTGGGATACGATTTCGTCGATCCGTTGTTGAATTGGGTCGTCAACTGGAGCGTTTGGGCGTGCGCCGCTACCGCTTGGACGGGGGTCGCTGTCCCGACGGGGGAATGTTCGCGGGGCGGGAGGTAGGGGGTGTTGGTAGCGGTGAGGAGGGGGAGGGAGATGACCGTTTGTGTGGTGGCGGTCGTGGGGGAGTGGGCGTGTCCCTGTTGATTGGGGAGCTGTTGGTCCCTGGGAGGAATTGAACGACGTCGAGTTGGATGGGTTCTTTTCGGCCGAAGCCTCTTGTGCGGCGGCGTCTGAGCCCATGCGTGGTCGTTTCGGAGATCGTTCGCCATTCGTCGGTCCTTGGTCGTGCGGAACCGGTGGCTCTTCTGAGCGGCCCTGGGCTTCGTCTTCGGGCTCTCTCGACCGCTTCCGTCCATTCGTGGTGTCTGTTTCACGCAGGGTACCAGCCGGGCTGCCAGCGCGCGGGATCCTGGTCTTCTCAGTACCCTCGTCTGCGAAGATGGGGGTGGTCGGGTAGTACTGGCTATGTTTCTGCATGGCATTGTTCTCGTACAATTGTGCCATTCTTGTGCACGCGCGACGCACCTGTGCCAGATCCACGTCGACCTGCTCCCACCATGGCCGGCCAGAGACATCGTCCTCAAATGCCACATCGCAATGTTGGGCGGCAGCGTAAAGGGCGGCAGCAGCAATGTTCCTAGGCGAGAATTGCAGGCAAAGAACGGTGAACATAGAGTCGTTGACGAAGGCCCAGGCAGCGTTGCGGAGGGGTTTGTTCTCGTTGACGCCGAAGTAACAGATGAAGTCGTAGAGGATGCGGTAGGGCTGTTCAAGTTGGAGATCGAAGCAAAGGGCTTCCAGAAGGAGGTCCTCATGGTGCAGAATCGTATCTCGCCATTTCCAGAACTCCTTAGATTGCTCGTCCACGACCAGGTTGGGTTGTTTCTGCGCTACCCGACAACATGCGACTACCAGTTCTCTCATCCTCCGCACATTCTCCTCCACTTTCGTCGATAGGAATAACGCGGTGGCAGCAATCGGATAAGGATGCATTCCCGGTCGTTGCGGCAGGTCGACCATGCTGTAGCGCATGAAAAACCGGTGAAGGTATACGGCAGCAGTTGCAATGGTGAGCTGGGGCAATTTTAACATAATGCCCACTTGAGTGATGAAATTGACCCCTTTACTGCGACTTGTATGTTCTGCCTCCAGGGCCATACCGTCGAGTTGCGACGGCGCACGCGTGAGCTCCTCATCTGTGAAAAGCCATTGGACTTGTGTCGCAAGAAGGACGGGGTTCGACGGCGCGGGCACAGGTCGCTTCTCCGACGGTTGTGATGTTGTGGACGCCATGAAAAATTGTGTTGTCACCCTTGCAGGAACAGGATATCTCTGGAGGCGGTTAAGGTCGATGATATGGACAAGAGAAAGAACCCAAGTTCAAATGACTACAAGTAGGCAGTATCAACCATTTAGTCGTCCAGTGAGACCAAAAGGAAGGACAAGAAGCGCCGAAGCTCCGTCCTCTGCTGACAACCAGAAGCTAAAAGTAAGTTATTAACAGATCAGATCAACCATGGCGCGAGAGACCTTTCATCGCATCGTGGGCCGAACCCGGATTCAAGGCCAATCGCACTGTTGTGTTGTTGTTAGGATGGGGCCTCTGCTCAGAGACCGGAGAAAGATAAGAGAGAAGGTAGTAAAGAAATCAAAAGGGCTCAAAGAATGGAGGCAAAGCGGTGGAATTTGGTCGGTAGAGGATTCTCTCCCCTGCAGATCTGGCGGTGGTTTTTTGTTGGAGTTCGAATCGTCCGCAGCCGGACAAATGCGTGATCTGAGATCGGATCATCGAGTTGTTCCGGCCTGGACTCCCCAGAACAACTCATTTACATGCATCAATCAACTCGAAATATACATAATGGTATTGGAACTATTCTAATCCTCTATACAGGTTGGGATGCAATAGGTGGTATCACTGCTATCAATAATTGTAAAACTCCATTGAGTTTATTATTCCGCTCCAAACTCCAAATGAACGCCATGCTTATATATGGTTTTGAAACATGAAAACAAGAAACACACAACTATTCCAACTATGCAAAGATAAATGGAGGATTACTCCTCCTCGCTGACTTCACTCTCGTCATCGCTAGGAGCATTATAATGGTGCAATGACTGATGACTTCTAGCTTCCTCTTCCCGAGCACTTTCTTCGAATGCAGCTTCCATTTCTGCCGCCAAAGCGTCATCGTCCTCAACCTCATCTTCACCAGCTTGCGCATTGTAACTAGACTCTACCCTTCCGGAACGAGCAGGTATCCCGCCGTGCCCAGCAGGGGAGGGCAACCGGAGATCCTCAATATCCTCATCTTCATCGTCATCATTATTTGCTGGTGTATTGTTGGAAGAGAAGTGAGCAGGGTCAATTCGGAACGCAGGTCGAGAAGGTGGCGGTGAGCCCATATCAATGATGAGGTCTCCGTCAATGATGATGTTAGACCCGGGTGAAGGAGCTGGCTGTTGGGATAACAAAGCGCTGCTTCCATTTTCGAAGGATGGGGATTTGGCTGCCTCGACTGTGACATTTTCAGCAGGCGCCTTCTCTTTCCCGCCCTCATCGCGAGGTACAGGCTTGGAGCTTGTCTTAGGGGTCCCTGCGCTGTCATGCTTGGCCGGCTTGGCAGGCTTCGGGAGACGAAGAGGATTAGACTGGGTTTTAGGACGAGGCTTCGGGCTAGGCTTCGGACTCGGTGTGGGTTTGATAGTCGCAGGCATTAATGGGGTGTTGGCTTTGCTTGTGTTATAATGAGGTTCTGGTGTAGCGTTGTCTGAGACCGACTTATCGTCGTCGGCGTTCTCCTTAGGAAGGAAATGCCGGAAGTCGTACGGATTAGTGTCATCTGCTGGACCATCGTCATTCCCACTGGCATGGTCTGAACCCCGATCGTCTCCAAAGCCTTGATCATCCTCTTGCAAAGTCCGAAGCTGGTCATACTTTTCTAGCACTTGCTTCTCTGTCTTCGCCGGAGCCGAGCGGAGGTTAAAATTGAGCTGTGCCGTAACCGGCTCCAGAACAAAGGCCTTTCGATGGGAGTCGAACACCAGGACCAGGTTTCGCTCTTCAGATTCTGAAACAGCTTGTTCTGGGTCAACACTACCTTGGTAAGAATAGGTCAAAGTGTTCTGATCAGCATTCGGGGCTTTATCCGTAATGGTAAGGTTGTAGTGGTCCCTCGATTGCGACGATCTAGTAATGGTTTGTTGCGCGGTCGCGGACTTTGTCTTGTAATTGTATTGGATGTTGACCAGCTTCGACAGTGAAGCACCATTTTTCCCTAAAAGCCTCTCACCCAAAATAATGGGGTACTCGGCCTGTTTGGTGGGATCGATTAATCCGGTTGAGAGAGCGGAGGCGGCCATCGGTAGAAGGTTTGACCACGGTGGGTGAATTTATATCCCGAAGCTGCTGTTCAATGTCTTGTTGTCTTTTGTCCGCACCGACTATAGGGAGACTTGCATTCCTCTGTGTAAGTATAGACAGGTCGTGCGTACGCAAGGGAGAAGGACGTCACACAAGAGACGGTAGTGAAGACAACGACGGAACGAGGGCAGCCGGCAGACCAGCACCGATCAGAGGGTTATAGGACAGACATTCAAGATATATAGAAACAAAGATGAACATAATATATATTTCAAATGTCCCTAGTCTGGGAGGGAACAAAAAAAAGAGAGAGAGAGAGAGAGAGAGAGAGAGCGAAGAAAACGGGAAGATGAAAGAAACAAGGAGAGGAAGAGAGAGAGGAGGGAAGATGACGGACGGAGAAGCCGGCGGTCCAGACAACGACCAGCGGAGGCCAAACGGCACCCGCCGCTAGTGCCCCATACGGCTAGCGCTCCGAACCAGAATCCTGATTTACTCCTTTTAGACCAGTAAGAACACTTCTCAGCCTTCGGTCAGATGAACAGGGACCAACTTCCTCTCATGCAACTCCAAGCCCTTGAACGGGTGAGGCCGCCCGTAAGGTCCCCTTGGAAGATCCGGATGCTGTATTCCCCCCGGTAAGTTGCTCCAGGCGCCCAGCCAGGGCTCGGTGCTTTCTCGTCACCTCTTCCCACTCATAGGCCATCTCTTCGCCGTCTTCGTCTCCCATATCGTTCATCTCTGTAAGAATCATTCCAAAATCTCCGCCCAATCGTCCTAGACTGGCAGCGCAGTATAGAACTTGGGTGAGAAGACTTTCACGCGAGCTCTTATCTCGAACATTCGGAAGATATGCCCGCAAGGTGTCTGTCAGTAATTGAACCAGATGCATGGGAAACGTTGCAAGTGCTGGTGGGAGGTGCTGTAGTGGATCTTCTTGCTGAGCGGGTCGCGGTGCTGTAGATTTAATTCGCGCGTCAATCCCTCGCAATCCTGTCGCTGCTAGTTCCGACTCGGCCTGGTTAGGGGTAAAGATGTTCTTGTACAAAGAAACAATAGCAAAACTCTGCTCGCGGAAGATCTCAATATAACGCTTTAAGAACTTCTCTGTCTGGTGCCCATCAGACCAGGATCCGGGCTTCTTTTCTGTACTCTGGGTTCTGCGGTGCGATTCCTGGTCTGCAAGCTCTCGTAAGGGATCTAGCGCTTCGAGCGTCGCCACCAGATTCGCCAATCTACAAATCAAGAACAGAGCACCAAGGGCGCCTTCTCCCGTCCCAGTTCCTCCATCGCTACGGAGATTCTCCAACTCGGGGGCAACTCGCCGCAGCCAGCCAACGGTCCTCATAGCAGCGGCTAATCGGAGGTTCTGAGCCCGCAGACCGGTTATCAGATGCGTAGTCATGTCCTTCATGGCGTCCTCGGCTTGAGCTGAGACGTCTCTAACTAGAGGAGAATCCGGATACAGGGTTTGTAGTCTCTTGATATGCGCATACACATCTAGTGCTGCTGAATATGTCGTGGAGGACGAACTACCCGCAGCCCCAGAACTCGCGGCCGCTGAAGACACGGCAGTTGAGAGCAACGTTGGCAATTCCAGAATGTCCGACAATCGGTCAACATTCCTTGCCAGTTGCATTACTTTCTTCCGCTTCTCCAGGGATGCATTCTCAGCGGCCCGACTGTATCTCGACGAGAACAGGACGGCCTCTTCGTCAAGCTTTGGAATCGCATCCCGTAATTGCTGTGCATCTCGAGACAACTGGGGGATAGAGTTTCGTAGAGCTGAGAGGCTGTCGGCGGAAGAGATGAAGGTTTTATGAGAGCGGTTTGATAAAGCTTGAAGCGATAGGATATTTGAATGAGATGACTGCGCGAGCGACTGTGGTTCGGTTTCTTGCAATGCCTGGAGTGAGAGGGTGGGCAACCTGTTGAGGTACTGGGCAGTGGTTGTGTCATTTTCAGGACTCAATGGGGTTGGGGATGCATTTGTGGATGCCAAATGCGGCGTTAAAAGCTCATAAAGATAGTCCGCCATGATGTAGCTCCCTTGCAGGTTTCCAATCTGGAACGATTAAATGTGGGGCATAGATGGCCGGCAGGTTGTTGGAGAGAGGAACTGGACAACTTTGGTCGTGAGACGCGATACCGTACGGGAGCCGCAGCGGCAACTAGCGCAGCATCTCCGAATGTCCCTCCATATTCACCTTCCCCCGTCTGACACCTGGCCTGAACAACGTCCAGATGTTGCAGTTTCATTTTACAATTCTTTGTCCTTTCCCTTCCTTTTTGGTTTTCAGTTTTGGATTTCTATTTTTGACGTTCTATCCCCCTTATCCATCAAAAGGTGTGTCGGCCAAATCAAGGGATTCTGTTTATCTACAGACGATCACTACTGCTGCGGACCGGAAGCCATCAATGGGAGTGTCTAAATAAGAAAATGATATTTGCAATGTATGCTAGAGAAACCCGAAGGGATAGGCTGTGTTTTGGGCAGTACATTCCAAGTTCATCGTTATCAAGATCAGATCTTATCGGGATTCTTACACCCCATGTCTGATTTCGATCTTGTCTCATCTCGGATACTCCTAGGGGAAAGCCCGTGGAAACAGCTATGCAAGAGCTACCCGGAGCGTCCACATTTATCAGTATGATACGGAGTACCTTGAGCTACGCAGGATCGTAGAGGAACACCTACTATGTTGCGGGCCAATATGAAAGCGGCTATTAGTATTCGAGACTTCAGATGATAGGGGACGATTACATCACTGGACAGACTAACCGGATAGGGGCAACTATCAGGTACTTTGCGCGGTTCCCGCACTGCAAACTCACAACGACGTCCACGCTTTGTTCCTTTGTTCTCTTGTTCTCTTGGGTACACCGCTTGTTTTTGTAGCTCTGGCTGGTTGGACTATCCATTTGATACGTTACAGGCAGTGTCTGCAGAAAAGTTCCTGGGAAACAGTCGTCTTACTGATCTTTTCAACCCCGCCTGTGCCCCTCCTGCGAATGCAGCATTAACCATGGGGAAACCGCGGGTGAGTCCTCCAGAACGATCATATATGTGCTCTGTTTACTCATACGGACTAGATGATCATCTTGATCCGCCATGCCCAGTCAGAAGGCAACAAGAATCGCGAAATCCACCAGACCATTCCCGATCATCGGGTAAAGCTCACTCCGGAAGGGCATCGACAAGCCCATGAGGCCGGTTCCACTCTGCGCGCCCTCTTGCGACCTGATGACACGATCCATTTCTTCACATCACCATATCGCAGAACCAGAGAAACTACGGAAGGAATCCTTCGGTCGCTAACCTCTGATTCCCCGTCTCCGTCCCCTTTCCCCAGACACACCATCAAGGTATACGAAGAACCTCGTCTGCGCGAGCAGGACTTCGGCAACTTCCAGCCATGCTCTGCTGAAATGGAGCGAATGTGGCTGGAGAGAGCGGATTATGGACACTTCTTCTACCGGATCCCGAACGGCGAGTCAGCTGCTGATGCCTATGACCGAATAAGCGGTTTCAACGAGTCCCTGTGGCGACTCTTCGGAGAAAATGATTTTGCCAGTGTCTGTGTCTTGGTCACCCATGGCCTGATGACCAGGGTCTTTCTCATGAAATGGTACCACTGGAGCGTCGAGTACTTTGAAGACCTCCGGAATATCAACCACTGCGAATTCGTAATCATGAAACTCAATGAGGATAATGGGAAATATGTGTTGCAGAACCAGCTCCGCACATGGTCAGAGTTGAGGAAGGAGAAGGAACTGGAGAGACAGCGAGATCGGGTCGTGAATGCAGTTCCTCCAGCGGTGCCAACACCATCTGAATCGCTCGTGCCCATCCGGCATAAATGGGGCGGTTGTCCGGACGGGTGTAACCATGGAATTCGCAGGAAGGGCTCTACAAGGTCCAACCGAGCGACTGGAACGGATCTTGCCCGGAATACTCCTGATGCACAACACAGAAAGGCCCACGACTCCATTCATACTCATAACAAGTCAGCACAAGGCAGCAACAAAGGTAAAGGGTCCTCAGCGGAAGTGAAACCGCAGGTTGAGGCGCACGTTTTAACAGCGCCCGAACCAGCGCTTGGGGACAGTTCCAAGGAAGCGAGGCCCTTCACCAGTATTATTCCTGCTTCTGCTCCACATTACAGAGAAACCCCCAATCCCCAGTCCACTCGATCCGACTTTCCACAAAACGAACCCAACAGCAACAATCAAGAGAGCAACTCCAACAACGCAACCACCGCCAGGGCAAGCCCCATCCCCAAGCGTCCAGACCTATCCAGGTTTCACCGCGACAGCGAGGACCACCTCCTGCACCCCCCGCGTTCAAATTACGCCCTTCTCCACCTCAGTGGCCGCGACGGAGGCGGCACATTAAGCGGAGCCAACAGTGTCGCACCATCGGAAGACGAGCACGAGGACAAACCCCCTAAACCCACCACCCACCAACCAAAGCCCTCCCACGACCTAGGCAACGACGGCGATGACGAGGGCAGTGGTACACAGGCACAACGTCTCCGGCGCTCACGCTCTCACCACACCAACCACCGTCACAGCCACCTCCCCACCCCAGGCAGACGACACCTATCCAAGAAACCACCCAACGGCTACCCAGACCAAGACCGAAACCTAGACAGCGGCCATCCAGACTCTTCAATCGACCACGAAGAAGACCCAGACCCAGAATACCACGACGACCTCGAAGCCGCAAGACGAGAAGACCAAAGTATCAGAGGAAGCGTCTACTAAGCAACGCCCACCACATAATTTCCATTCCTCTATTTTGCCATTCTCTTGGAACCAAACATAATACCAACAACCTACCACCGTACCTCATATGCATCACGAAATGAACCCCGACTATGAAAACCTATCTTATCTACTTCATTGTAACGAGCAGCGACCTGTACACCTCTTTTCCGTTCGTTTCAAAAAGGAACATCGATACCCGAGGTTTTTTTCCTCGTACATCTTCTTCTACCTCTTACATGATACATAGAATACTACTACACTACATACATAGTTTGAATTGCTTCGTACATTAATTGAATTGTTGCATAAATACGTCTGGGTTTGAGATAACGTATACTAGAATCTTCATGGTTAGTTCCTGGGACTAAAACTGAAACACACCTTGTATTGATTGATTGATTGATTGATCTATCTGCTGCGTTGAGTTCACAGACGTCTAACGAATCATGATCATATCATTTCTACTTCGCAATTCAGGATTACATATTTATAGGAACGCAGGTGAGACCTATTATTTTGAGGGAAATTCGGATTTTCATCGATTTTCCACTATTTCATATAGTATGGTTGAGAGAAGTTAAATCTAACTTACAATCAAGGAATGAGTTTGACAATGGCACGGGTTGGTTCAGCACCGTGAAAAAGAAAAGAAAATGCAACAGAAGGACATGGTGAGAAGGGGGAGTATCACTTTTTTTTGAATTGTCTTACCAACGACGGACGGAATAAAATATAGAAAATTGTAAGACAAACACGGATCGATAAACAAGTCGTAACAAATGGTAAATAACAAAGGTTGAGTGTTCAAAAAGAAGATAAACTACAACCGAGAGAAATAATCCTCGATCCCGGCGTCAGAGCATGCCGAATGGATTCTCGGGGCTTGACGACGTAGCACCGAGGAGGACTCCGATTAAAGTGAAGAGAAGAATGGGACAGCATCTGCCAACCGAAACAGAACAATGCAACAAGCCGGCAAGGGAATCGAATAAAACGAGGTATTAACGCCATGATACTCAAGGCAAGAAGCTGAGTAGAAAATGGAAGAAGTAAAAAGGGAAACCAATGTCCAAAGTCAACCAAACGTCAAGAAAACGCAATCTATGAGTGACATCCGCCAGTAGATATGCCCAACCAAAACAAACAAAGAAAATAAAGAGGAGAAGGAGAAGAAAACAGAGAAAGGAGAAGTTGAAAAGAGAAAAAAAGGCTGGAAAAAAAAAAGATCATGAATGTCGTGACTTTTCACTTCAAAACTTGAAGTCCAACGATCTTTGCAAGTGATATTCGAACATGATGGGCAGGTACCCATAAACAACGATATCGTATCAAATCGAGATGGAAGGGTCTATGCCTTGTCGTAAATACATGTTCGAGCTGTGTCGTAAATGTGGCACTTGTTCGAATATCGCTTCGCAACACTTTTTTTTCGAAAGTTTTTCGTTTCAAATATTTCAGGGAAAAGGCGATCATAGGACTTTTCAGACACAACAGTAGGAACCAGAACCGAATAAAAGAGTGTCATCACCAGACTGAAAATTGCGAGATGCGGTATCATCAATAAACAAAGGTGAACAAGTCTAACGAAAAACAGTGGTCGATCGAACTGAATGTGCATTGTACACCGCGGATTCCGAAACAAGCTGGCAAGCTACCCACTAGCCGGCAAGAATAGGTTGCATTCCGCCGAAGGCACCAGCACACATGTAGTGCTCGACGTGTTTAGCACAATGCAAACAGCCGCAGGAGGAACCATGGCCTGTCCATACGCTCTGTGCAAAAGGCAACGCATATGAGGGGGTATGGTGGTAGGAGGGTGGTTGCGACCGTGGCGCCTGTGGCATGTACTGTGGCTGGGGAGGGATCCAGGTGCGAGAGTATGGCGGTGGCGGGTTCGTATAGGCCCACGGTCCAACAGCGTAGTAGTCTGGGGTGTTAGGACCACTGTGGGGGGCCGACGGGGGCGAATACTCAGACGCCGCCGGGTTGAGCCAGGAAGTCTCAAAGTGAGAGCTACGCTGGTATTGGGGAGGGATGGGGCCTTCAGGGGACATGAGCGGCTTGGAGATTCTAGAACCCCTGGACACGTTAGTGTCGATCGGGGCCAGGTTATGACGCGAATCATGGGCCCGGGTGGTCTTCGCCCGCCACGTGTCCCAGTGAGAGCGCCAGGATGCGAATCCGTCCTGATCATCGTAGATGCGGTCGTGGATCTTCCACTCAAAGGCAAATAACCATTCGAGCTCCATCGTATTCAGCTCGCTCACCGGGATGTTGCTGACCTCTGCCCACGATTTGTTCTGGAAGGTGTTATCGTCCAAAAATTTGCTCCCCAGAAGGAGGGCTACGGTGAGCATCCGGTAAACTTGACCATTGCCAGACAAAAACACCTTGGAAGAAGATAGCATGCGCATCCTGCTGGCTAAATAGTAGAGACCCAGAATAATCGTCGAGCTTGGCAAGCGAGTCGACGACAGGATCTGAAAGACGTACTTCCGGAATTGCGGCGGGACTGACGTTCCTGGGTAGACGCTTCGCGCGAAGTCAATATCTGCAAGGTGAATCTTGGTGTTGTACAAAGCATACATTCCCTGGGCCATCTCAGCCACGAAGTCGGACATCTGGTCCATCTCATAATCCAAGCGGGCTGCAACACCTCCGGTAGCCTTCTCCTCCTTACGCTGCTGCTGTTCGGGTTGCACCATGACGTCTTGTCGGCGGTACTGGGGCGGGATTGCGCTGTCCATAGGGGGTAACTGGACGTTGTTTCGGAGGGGAGGCAGTACATTTGCGGTAGGCATCGGACCGAACATGGGCTGGTTCATCATGGCCATATCCCTGCCACTGCGCATCGACGACGGGTGCATGTTCATCGGGGCGGGCTTGGAGTAGCAGTTCGATTGGGAGTACTGCTCAATAAATTCACAACCGCTCTGCGAGTAGCGAGGGGGAAAGGCGGAGTGGCCAACCACGTAAAAAGGGTGCTCGGAGTCCATTCTGCCACCGCTCATGATGTGGGGAGGAGTAGGAGGCAGGCCTTGAAGGCCTGGCGCGAAAAAGGACGGCATAACGAAATAAATAGAAAAGAAAAGAAAACCAGTTCAGGATGGCGAAGGTAGACGGTTCTGGTGCTGTATAGAGTAAGAGTTTCCAGTCAGTATATTATACCACAATGGTAAAATAAATCTCCAAAGCAGGGCAACACAGAAAAATTAAAGAGCAGATACGAACCGTCTACACGTCCGCCAGGCCCTGATCCTGGGGGGAGAGCGTTGCTCGGTGAGCCGCGGCTCTGAAGTTTTGCGTCGTGAGTATCTCTTAGTTGAATAACATGGAGGTATCCTTCAACGGCACGTATCAAAACCTGGAACGCGGTTGTAAATAGATGAAAGTTGCGAGGCGAACGGAGCGCGCTTTATTTGACTGTTTGCTTTTCCTTGGTCCTCTAGTGGGAGTCCGTGGATCCTTTCTTTTCGTTGCGTGGACGGCTGTGGCCAAAATCGACGTGCTCCAAAGACTGGGACGAATAGAGCCAATGGCACGATGTCACCAGAGTAGAATTGAGGCTAGCGACAAAGAGAACTCGTCGGGGGTAAGATTGGAGCCAAGGTATGCGACGGGGGAGGTTTCCTTTGCTTAATGTGATAAGGAATAAAGGTCACTTTCTCACGCGTTCGAAGGAGACAGCCCCGGTCCACGAAGACAACGACACTTAGTGAAAAGCTCGTTGAGGGTTAAAGAGGCAAACCAAAGAGGAATATATGGCGAAGAAAAAAAATCCCGAGAATAAAAACTCAAGAAGATTAAAGGGACAATGGCGGTTAAAGGTGGAGGAAAGAAATGGAGAAGGGAACGAGGCGAGGGGGAGACTGAGAGAAGGATGGGGGGGGGGAGGAGGGAAAAAGAAGTAGAGTGAAGGGCAAGACGGAGAGAAAAGAAGGCTAGTGGTAAATTCAGAGGTGTCAGAGAGTGTTAGTAACCATCGTCCGTTGAGGATTGTGGATTGAGGTTGATCTCCGGGTCACGGGTTAGTCAGACTCCTGAACGAGTAACGAAATTCTAAAGGAAGTTTGTTAGGGGTCCTTTCCATTCAATGACTGTCACTAGATTCATCGTGGGAATCTTCCGAAGGCCTACACTAAGTCAGTCTAGTACCATCCGTCTTCTGTCTGTACTAGGCCCATACACTGTCTCCAATCTACCGGCCGGACGAGTCGGATTTTAGAGAACGGAAAACAGATTTTTTTTTTGATTTTTTTTATACTATGATAATAATTTTTTTTCTACCCTACAGTAAGTTTGGTCTATCTATCCGCCGGTCAGGAGGACCCAGAAATAAAAGAAAAGGGTGAGGAGAAGAGAAGAGTATTGAAAAAAATATAAAAATAAAAAATAAAGGGAGTTAAGAAATTAAACAGATAATAAGACCAAAAGAATAATAATAACCATCCTAATTAAAAAAGCAGTTAGAAATTAATTCTTAACCGTCACAGTGAAATTACCATCGCCCAACCAAACCACCCGGAATCATGAAATGGCGGGAAAAGAAAGCACCAGAACAAGAGAGGGTAAAGGTAAAGGGGGGTTGGCCCAGCCGCAAGACCCGACCGGGAATCCTCTTTTTAGAGTTTTCCTTTCTAAACAGAAATTTCTTACTGTTTGTATATTAAGTCTTTCCCCCGTCATGGAATTCTTGTCCTAAAGTGAGAAGCGCGGCCAAGGGTTTCAAATTTAAGGGTAGCGAAATAAAAAAAAAAAATTAAAATAACATAAAAAACTAAAATAAAATAAAAATTCCCCTAACTGCAGTGTGATGGTATGGTACTTCATCGCCGGTTACCAAGAGACCAGAACCCTCACGAAGCAACGGATCCATGGTTCGTTGCTGGTTACCTTAGCGGTCTAGCTGAAGCTCTTGGGACAGAAGGGTAAAAAAAAAAAGAAAAATCATATATCTCATGCAATGATTTGTGAAATAGAATTCAGCTTTCATCAAGCACCACAATTTGTTTACTCCGGAAAAAATATTAAACAGGAATAATTCATTTGAATCACTCTTGGAAGTCATCTGTCCACCATTCATTAGGGGTTCACCTCTGGACAAACAGGAGACCGCCAATGCAAATGGGGCACCTCCCCTCAGGCTAGTCGTCGGGGTGAGTGAATGAGGTTGGTAGGTATGAGAAACCTGCCGCTGGAGCCGTTTTTGGGGATCGGTTTTTTTATTTTATTTATTTTTATTTTTTTCTGATCTTTAATTTTGGAGTTTCCTTTCTGCAACCCCTTCTACTTTGATACCACCGACGAAAGAAAGAAATCGATTGTTCTGATTCTGCCGTGATCCCTATTCATCAAGATAATAATAGTAAAAGAGAAGTATAAGAGAGAATTATAGGATATGATGCATTGCATCTGAGGAGCATTACGATATGGATACGATTTTTCTACTTTATTATTTATTATTTTTGCTTTCTATTTTCTATAATGGTCTTTTCATCGATGGATCCTAATAATAACCCATCAATAATCTATGCAATGCAACAAGAGTCATAAAAAGAGGATCAAGACAGGAGGGAGTAGTCCTCCCGTGCAGAATAAGAATAAAAAAAAATAACATAAAAAAATAACACGACCCATTACCAAATAGGAGGGTGGAACAAGAAAAGAGGCAATGCGAAGGCTGTGGAATTCCCTAAAGCTAAAGGACCAGTAACCGTCTTGACTGGGAGCACCACTGACCCAACAAGGCAACACTGATGCAAAGTCGCAGTCACACTCTCACTGAGTGATTGGAAGGGGGGCACAGGTGAACTACTGCGATAGTGACTGCCCGCAGTGGAGATATTTTTCGTACTCCATACCTGGAGAGTACGTATCAGAGTGAGGGCGTAACGCCCGTTCTTGAGCAAGTCGACCAGAGAAGAGAGAGGGACTTGCCTCGAACCTTCGCGGTGGGTTTTCTGGGACGTGCACCTTTTCCTTTTCCTTTCCCCCGTGCTAAAATAATAAAGTAGGGGAAAAAATTAAAAACGTGTCTCTCCGGGTGGTACGTACGACGAACACACTACGTACTTTACGGGGCTAGTGTTAAAAAAAAAAGAAAAAAAAAAAAGAAAAAGAAAAAAACTTCAGAGTGGGAAGATCCTGGGCTTGGAACTTGTCTATTTTCGGCCATGGAAAATCCACTGATGGAATTTCAACTCTCTTCAGACGAACGGGATTACCTAAGAGGGGATAATGCGAGGGTCACGGGGGGATGATGACAAAGATTGAACGATCTTCTGTTTGTAACTATGTATGGATGTTTGTAAGTATCCGTACATACATACTATACATACAAAGGCAAACAATTATATGAACAAAGAATCATAGAGAGTCAACCCGTTCTCCCGGTGGCAATTCATGGCATCATACCCAGCCTCAGTGCTCTATTATGACACCATATATCCAAAGAAAAATCAAGCAAGGGCAAAACTGGTGGCAAGGAGAGCGCCTCATTTTAAAAACGATACACTGTATCAGTCAGACAGGGCGGTAATGATGCTCCGTGAAAAGCCCGTCAGAATCGATGTACGATGTATGTAGTCGCACATACAGACAACACGCATCGACAGTACAGCCGGGTCAAATTAGGCATGTCCCCGACCGACACTTATTGGAAAGAAAGCCAAAAAGAAATGCGTCAATAACGAAATAGCCTCTCGCGTGCATCCGGGAAACATTCTTCCCACATAATTCGTTGCTCCGCCGACGTCAGATGAGACGCTGACTGAACTGACTGCCGTTGTCCAGGCATACAAGATTCAAGAATTCAGAAGGCCTCCATGGACGTCGTCAGTCATCCGATGGCTGGACGTCCAGCTCAGCTGCTCTCCGCGCCCTAATTTGCCCGGAACCCCTCGTCATTCGGCGAGTGTGACTCCAAGCAAACTACCAACCAGGTGGATGGAAATATATACCCAGCCACTGATTAGCCCCCCTCCTCAGTTTTGCCCACTGGATTTCTGAGTCAAAGTCCATGATCGAATGACTCTTGCCAAGATGGGGGAAAGGGTTTTTTTTAACGTACCCCCATTATAGGGTGGTACCTGTTCAGGTACCTTATCGACATCAACCATCGGTTCCATATTACAGCGCATCGTCGGGTCCAACGAATCACTGCCCCATCAGTTGTATAACCAGCCAAACCACATCCGTCCAGCTCACTCTTCAGTAAGGTACGCGGTGTCCCTTCACCAGTCCTTATTCACACTGCACATCATCAACGGTAGGTACGGATGATTGTACATATGTACGGTACATGATGCTTTTTATCTACATGACATCAAGATCACCCTTGCTGGTTTATCTTTCAATGTAGATACTTCGGAAGAATGGAACGAGAGGGAGTTCATTATATGATTATTTTACCTGAGAAAAGCCATGCTTATGCAGTCTACACAATCCGGTAAAGTGGGGGTGGAACCTGCGCGAAAGTAAATATATATATGTATATTTATATTTTTTATTTCTGAAAAGAAAGAAAAATTCTAAACGAACAGGATATCGCTGCCCGATGACCTGACCTATCCCATATTACCTCGCCATGCTCCCTGACGTAGGGACAGTAGACCACTAACTGAGTCCTTGGGTTTAGGAAGACAAGCCTCCGAAACGTCCGTTGGGTTTGACTTCCAACTAAGAAAAGAACGTCACGAATAGTATTGGTGCCTGTCATCGGATAGTTAAGGAACCTTTAGAAAAGTCAGGAAGACGGACGACGGTGGTGAGGGGTAAAACCGCCCGAATCGCTGCAATGTCGTTCACATCAGTTCGTTAACCGCCCACTAACCCGATCCTCGCTAATGGACTCAATCCCCAACTGAAAAGCAGCACATTCTAGAGCATTAAACACCCAACCTGCAGGTTGTATACTCCGTGTGGATTGGATATGCACCCCAGCCAGTCGGCTATCTTCGGTTTCCACCACCACCAACAACAACAACAACAACAACAAGCGCAAGCCTATTTCACCCGTGACCTGACGAGGCTTTGGGTTCCCTAGAAACCGACCTGCGGCTAGGGGAAATTCGGGCTCTGAATCTAGAATGCAGAAAGACAAATCACCAACGAAAAAATGAAGAAAAAAGGAGTGGTCAGAAAAAAAAAATGTCATTGACTGACAGTAATGCCCAGATTCATCTTTTGTCTATGCAACTAACTCCTAGTTTTTGCCTCCTGCACCTGCCACGACAATGGAAAGAATTTACCCGGTAAATCTCATGGTTCCGGGGCCACGACATGAATCAAAAGAAGCCCAGAACGTAGTGGATATCATCGAACAAAGAAATCGAGATAGCGAAAAAAACAACAACAACAAAAAAAAAACAACAGAAATGGAGACACCACTGAGGAAAACACAATGTTATACTCGTGAGACCGGTGATAGCTGTGTCACCGATCATGGATCCCATAATTTTATACCTCCTGCAACACCAGACCAATCGCCAAATGTAGACGTTCGTAAACATAAGAAGAAAGAAATTCCAAATCGTAACTCATTCAATCCAAGCAATCCTGTGGAGCAACCCCATGTCTCAAGCGCAACCATGCAGGATTCCTGAAGCCGTTATCCTGGTTTACTCACCCTTCAAGTCTCCGACTAGGCCACGAAGCGCATCCAGAATGACTGCCTCATCCTTCGGCTCGCCACCAGGAAATGAGCTTTCCGTGGCCTCTCCCAGAACGCGGGCGCGGGCGCTCTTAAGCACTTCTCGAATATAGTTCTTGTCTTCATAATCCTCCATGAGGACCGCTTCGAAGTCATCAATAGCCTTGTTTGCCCGGTCATTGAACGAAGACGTTTCGGAGGTGTCCATAGGGCCGGAACTGGGCTCGCCTGAGGCAACACCAAGGTTGGGCTGGTGTTGCATAGGGGGGCCTGGGTTGGGCGGAAGGTTTTGAGACGGCGGGTTCATTGACATAGGAGGAGGCGGTGGCGGAGGAGGGTTGGCTGGCGGGTAAGGTGAGTGATGCTGGGGCTGTGTTTGCATGGTCTGTTGTTGCTGCGATTGCTGATATTGAATCAGCTGTGGAGGGGGATCGGAGGCATATGGGGAAGTATATGTGGACGGCACTGTCTGAGCAAAAGCAGGCGGGAGGTTGTTCCTTAGTGGACTTGGTATGGGGAAAGGGGTAGAGGCGGCGGGTTGAGATGGTGGCGGATAGGGACTTGATTGCTGAGCTGCAGGTGTAGGAGCAGGAGCAGGCGAGGGCGCAGGGTATGGATTTGATGGCATCGGCGGAAACTGGAAATGAGGGTTCGCCATGTTTGCCTGCCCATTCGTTGGGTTGGAGTACGATGGGTTCATGGGAGGCATGTACTGCGGAGCTGCAGGCATCGGCGGCGGCTGTGATGGCGGCGGCGGCGATGGACGCCTCTTCTTCTCCTTTTCGACTGATGCTCCCGGACGTAGTTGCCATGACCACCCTTTACCGTCTCTCTCGGCATGCATAAAGAGGTGGCTGTTGCCGTTGAGGTTGTGTCGCACACTGGACGTCCAGCCTTCAGTTTCACACTGAAACGGAAATAAGGATACTTTAACTTCAGCGCACGATAGATCTGCTTCAACGTCATCGGCGTGCCAGCCTCGGTGAGAGCATCGAAGATAAGAACCGCATAATTGTAGGGCGGTTTGGCCAGATCTTCTGGAGTATACGCTGATTCTGGGGGGTAGTTGGGCGAGGGTGAACGCGACGGCTTGCGCTTCTTGACCGGGGGGGCTTTGATGAAGTCCTCTGGGCGCTGATCCATAGGGAACTGGCCACCTTCTGTAGAAGGGAGAGGGAAGTCCATAAGGGTGCCATCGGGCTTCTTCCTCTTGGTGTACTTCCGCTTTTCAGGTTTGGATCCAGGGGACTCTGCACCCATAGACTCCTTGGGTGTAGTGGGAGCAGCACCCGTAGTCGTTGTCTTTCCGGCCTTTGGCCGGTTGGCAGGGGGAGGAGTGACACCTCCATTTGCCTCACGTTTCGCAGCTAACTTTTGTTCCCTGGCCAACTCGGCCCGTTCACGCTTCGACATAATGCCATCCTTGGGCGGCCGTCCCGGGCCTCTACGACGCATAGGTTGCTGGCCATCAGCAGAACTTTCAATGGACGGCACCGGGCGAGTCGAATCAGGTTCTTTAGTCTTAAGAATGATCTTAGTAGTCTTCGGGGCATCTTTGTTCTCTGTACTTTCCGATTTGCGGCGTTTCTCATCCTCATCGTTCTCCGTTGCAGGGGCTGAAGCTTGCGCATTTTCTTCTTCTGCCACGTGGGGTTCCTCGACCCTATCGGCACCCGTCTCACCAATTGGTACATCTGGAAGTAGAAATCGTATTCGGACTCCGCCGATTTGGATATAATCGCCGCTGTGTAAAGGCCTGATCTGACCGGGCGATAACCAATCAGCACCAATGAACGCACCATTTCTCCCCATAACTTCCATCTCAAAGAGATTCTTATCAAAATTATATGCGATCTTTACATGTTTCCGTGAGATACCTCGGTGTCCGGCGGCACTACCATCTGTTGTGGCAGGGGGGTGAATAGGGATCGTTGGACAAGAATCCGGGGACGGAAGTAAAGCCAAAGCATCAACCGGTTTTGCATCTCCACCTTCATCATTCAAAGATTCCATAGCAAGGGCGTTGTAATCAGTGGTATTCGACTGTAGCTGAGCCGGTGTCGCATGCATTGGAGCTCCTGACTCGGCGTGGGAAGAATTGGACGATCGTCGACTTATACGGGTGGGAAGATGGGGTGGGACATCAGGATCAAAGCCCATAATTCCACCGCGGTCACTGACGACACTGCCTATGATGCCACTGCCTTCATGTTTCATTCGGATGGGAGTATGCGACGTATTCCCACCACTCGAACTTTTCGCGCGGGTGTGTCTCATGACCTGTCGGACCTGTAATTCGCGCTGATGGGCAGCCCGGGCAGCCCGTACGTCTCGTCCGAGAATAAAGGAATATGTGTTGCAGTAGAAATGGCCATCGTCGAATTCCAGTTTTGCAAAAGCCTGGATGCGAGGCTCTGATCCCGCGATCGACCCGGTATCCTGTAGATGTCCTCCGGAGTATCCAAGGGCGGTCAGGTCAGCGCTCTGGGACAGATACGCAGCCGTAAGCATCTCATTTTGTTGTAATGCCTCAAACGGGTCCTTGGCAGCGCCCGTGATATCAAACGGCGTAAATAGGTCGGAATGGTCTAGGCCCGACTTCGAAAAGAGTAGAGGGTCCGTGAGGCCTTCCGAGGGGTCGGCATGTTTCAATGATATGTTCAGGTCCTCTTCTGGGTTCGAAAATGGTACCTCCGGTGGTTGATCGGAGTTTTTCTGTTCTTGCTGAGACTCCGGCAACTCAGTCGAGTTGGCCGGGATCTGGTCTTGGCCCCCGGTCGGGTCTGAAGACATTGCCGTGGTTCCCGCAGGCGCATCCGTCGACCACTGCCCATTCATCGCATCATCAATATCCTGGTGTTGGCTCGTGTCTTGCGCTGCGGGTACGGAGTGTTCCGCAGAGGGCCCTGGCCCGTCGGAAGGCATTGACGACTGGTTGCCGAGCAGTTGAGCCAAGAGCGCACTGGCCGCGGACTGACGCCTGGTATCGGTTTGCGAGCTTTGTTCGACAGCGGAAGGAGGAAAAGCATTCTCATTGGGCTCGGACTTGACAGGCATCATGCCGGAGGGAGAAGCCAGGCCATTGGAAGGAGCATCGGGGGGGTCGGGGGCAGAATCGTTCAAAGCGCGGATTGCGGAGTCGCTGGGCGGGGAGGGGGACCGGTGGTCGTCAGGCTGTTGAGAACGACCATAGTCATAGATTGACGACATATTGGGACCAGCATCAGGCGGTCGATGGCCCACCGCTGGCGCTGTCATGGTCTGCGACGACGACATGACCGGCGGCTGCTGCTGGTTGAAGAAAGACAACGGGCTGGAGGGATGAGAGAAGCTGGGCGGTGAAGTGAGGCCATGGAAGGAGACAATCTAACTGGCAGGAGAAAAGAGGAGCCGGTCGTTTTTTTCTTTACTTTTTTTCTCTTCTCTTTTTTTTTCTGCCGCTTTTACTGGTCCGACACCCCATGGTCATGTGATTACAGGTACTGTACATGTATGGTACCGGTCTGGATCTCCGATTGTTCTCGAGTATTTTGTCGCATTGTTTAGAGTTGTTACTCCAGGAGGTACCGAGTACATGCATGGCACGACTGGATCAAGAGTTCATCCTTGTGAAAGATTGAGGACCTTGTGTGACGATATTTGAGCTGTGTTACTGTCTGTATGATGCTTGTACACTAGTAAGTACCTATGTACTGTACATTGACCCATAACTCCCTCGTACCAAGGCCGATCATCCATTCTGTTTCAGGTTGCGATCTCCCAGACCACCAAGAGGAGTTGACTCGACGATATTTGCACATTATCAGCCCATATCTGTACTAGGTACTTGTAAAAAAAAAAAAAAAAAAAAAAGGTGTAACTACCAGTCGGGAAGTATAAGCATACCACAACAAAGAACCAAAAGAGTTCAACTCGAGAATCTAAATACAGTAATGCCAAGAAATCCCCTGCATTACTTGCAGTTTCTCCTCCACGGATCCAGAGATGGTAACACCACTTCGGTCGATCTCGACCAGAACTTTATCTCATGAAGCTATCACTATCAAATCTGGGGAATACATATAGATAACGACAATATAGCGCTTATACCAACTACCAAGTTTGTGCACTATTACATATAAGTACCTATATCTATATCCCTATTGACATTCAATACCGTACCCTCAATACGAAAAAGAAAATACCCCCGGTCAATCTCAAACCTCCACTCCGACCTCAAAGAAACAAAGAAAAGGAAAAAAACTCTCCCCTAATAAACCAAGAACCAACCAGCCGAACACCCACCACGACAGACAAACCAAGCAAAAGAGAGAAACAGAAGAAGAAAAATAGAAAAACCAAAACAAACACAAAAACCATGCCCCCAAAGTCCAAATCCAAGAAGGACATCGCTCCCCCCAAACCACCGCAGAAACAGCAAACCCCCAAGCCAAACTGGCCTCCTCTCCGCCCCCTCATCCCCTCATCCGACCTCACCCTCGACCCCCTCCTCCCCGACCAGATCTACCTCATCCCAAACTTCTTCACCGCAAACCTCTGCAGAACTTACGTCTCATTCCTCTCCTCCCTGCCCCTGACCACTACCCCCGGGAAACCGAAAAAGGGTGACGCCGTTCGCGTCAACGATCGGTTCCAAATCCAGGATGAGCGGTTTGCGGAGTCGTTGTGGAGCGGGACAGCGCTGAAGGACCTGGTGACGAATGGAGATGGGGAGGGAGAGAGGTCTATGAAGGAGATCTGGGGTGGGGAGCCTTTAGGGTTGAATGCGAATATTCGGATCTATCGGTATTCGAAAGGGCAGTTTTTTGCCCAGCATTGTAAGTTCTTCCTCTCTTTTTCACCCGTTTCCCGATGTGTGGTTTCTAGCCGCAGTATAGGGTATACCCTTTCGTAGATAAGAGGTAAACTTGTAGAGGTTGTACGGATGTGCTGTACAATGCAGAAGCAGCTCTGCGGGCATCATGGTCTACGTGCGGGGAGACTAATGGTTGCAGACGACGACTCCAACACCCTCACTTTCTCTTCCCCTTCACATCCCTCTCAACTCGCTCGCACCACGTGGACCCTTCTTATATACTTGACTACCTGTTCCGGGGGCGAAACTATCTTCTACCCGGAATCGACTCGTGGGAATCGCAATCCCGAGCCAGTTTCAGTGGCCCCTGTCACGGGCATGGCACTGCTACATCGGCATGGCGACCGATGTCTCCTGCATGAGGGCAGTGAGGTTTCAGATGGTGAAAAGTGGGTGTTACGGAGTGATTTGGTGGTCCGGTGATGAGTTCCGGTCCTCTAGGCCCCATCCTTACTACGCTACTCATAAATGTGCCCCTCTGGCCATGGATAACAGTAGTCCTATTTGCACAACAAGAGGCTCTCAGCTATGACGCGATATAAGATGCCATATACGAGATTAACCATGTACATATGTGTATATTGACCACAGTTCAGTGACGAGATCAACATTTCGAGATGGTTGGAAAGAAAAAAGGACGCAGCTGCATGAAGCGGACCAACTGTAGGTATCAAACAGTTGGTCCGACAAAAGAACAGTTTTCCTGCATGTAGCCACCTCCTAAATCACCTTCTTGGATAATGGTGACAAGAAGTACTAAAGACCAGTCATGATTCGCCGACAACGTGGGGAGCTTTTGGGCTCCATCTTTCGTATCAGGAGACAACACCCGACGCTCCCTTCACTAGATCCCTTAGACACCCAAAACAAGACATACAATTAGCAATTAAAGGAAAGATGAAAAAGAAAAAAGGAGACAGGTGATCGCATATCAAGACGTGGGGACATTCACTCCAGCTTCTTCTAAACCGAAATAGAGCTGCTACGAAGCTTCAAGTTTCGGTTGAATCTGTTCATACTCAGCTCTTCTCATGATCTCCTCCACAGGTCCTAATAACCGCTTAAATCCATCCCGACCGAGCTTCGCCACCTTGACATCAGTCTTCGCACTGATGCTGGCGGCTCGGGGTTGGTCGTCTAAAAGAGCAAGTTCTCCAAAGTAATCGCCCCGTTGATAGGACTTCACTGGTCTATCCACGCCTTCCTTGAAAGCATCTGCTTCGCCCGACTCGAGAAGGTAAAAAGCATCGCCTGGATCGCCTTCTTTGATGATAGTAGAGCCAGCTGGAAACTTAATTGCGTCTAGAGCATCGGCAATCTTGGAACGTTCGTATGGCTTTAGGCTGGAGAGGAGCGGAACCTCTTCCAGGAAGGCCTCATACATGCGACGTCGCTGGAATGCAGAGTCCATGAGAATCCTTCGGAATGTGATACGGTCCAAAGCCCACAGGGTACTCTTCGAGTCCGTGGACACAATTGTCGCAGCCCGAGGTGCGTTGTACATGAGAGCCAGTTCTCCGAACGAACCTCCGGGTCCAATTGTACCCGCCTTGGACCCCATTCCATCGGAACCCGATTGTACCGAGCCTGATGGGTGAATGTAGACGTCGAAGTGACCATCTTCCACGATGTAGAAGTAATCGCCTGCATCGCCCTGTGAGATCACTTTAATCCCCTTGGCAGGAATGGGCTTTTCAACCAGAGCATCGACCACAGTCTTAAACTGGTCATCATCAAGGTGGGAAAACAGGAAGTTGCCGCTGACGGCGGTCTTCAATCGGGAGACCTGTTCTTCGGTCTTTGGGTGGTGCGGGGGCACCCAGCTATCTGAACCAGCCGAGGTTGGGTTCAAAGATTCAGCAGACACAGATGTCCGACGACCCAATGCGTAGTTATTCGGGAATCCTTCATTCAAGGTACCCGTCGGGCGAGGTACTTCAGGGTGTTCGTCGAAGTCGTCATGATCTTCATCTCCCTCCCCAGAAGGGTCGGCAAAAGGACTCCTGCGAAAACGGATCCCCCCTCCTTGTTGTTGGTTAAATACATTGCCTCCGAAGAGGTTGTTTCCAGCGGACGATGACGCTGCCGCCGAATTTGCAGTTTGAAAGGTCGGGTCAGTTGGTGACGTCACCTCCCACTCCTCGTCCTCTGAGATCTTTCGGAATGCTGAAGTTTTATCATCTTTTGTGCCCACCTTGAGGTGAGGGCTAGCGCTGGAGAAAGAGCTTTCAGCCATTGTGTCGGCAGTAGGGGCCGGAGGAGATATCTCTCCGGCCACAGGGAAGCGGGGAAGACGTGTGGAAACCGAATACCGCGACTTGAAGCCGCTGGAGAGGAAAGGCGGGCGGAAGTTGGCTGGACAAGGTTAGGTATGAGGTAGCGTGAAGAGGACGGTTGCAAAGAAAGAATGAAAGGAGTTCGGGAAGAAATTAGGACGGTAACAAGAAATGAAAATAGTGATGTGTGAGTGCGCACAGGAGCCTGAACAGCACAGTCAAGAAGGAAGAGGATGAGGGGCGGGTAGGGAAACCGACAGGAAGCACAAGTAGTAATGGATTTGGGGTCTCCGCCCAAAAGTGGGTATCTCAAGGAGAAGTCTAATTGGAGAATCTAAAGACGCAGCGGACCAAAGATGGTGTGGTCTATGATGGACGATTTCCCGAGTGGTAGCTCTGATGGAGACTCCAGTACCACAACGCTTGCGGTGGCTTTTAACGCAGATTTGTTAATTGATAGTGTAATTTCAGTGTTTCAGGAGTGTGTTGTATGGGATGTCCCGTGTAAAGACTGTTTATTCATTTATATCTGTCTTCCCTCTTTTTTTTTTTCTTTTTTTTCTTTTCTCTTTATTCCTGTTTGTGGGTTCAGGAAGAAAACATGTGGCAATAGGGAAATAGCTTCAATTGCGACAAGCTTTGGAGGGGTAACCGACAAGGCTGGTTAAGGTATCACACCTGCACCTCTGCTTTGGGTCGCGTGGAAAGTATCTTGGGATGAGAGAGCGAAGGGAGAATAAAGTAGAAGAGAAATGGAAATCACCTACCTGTGCGCAAAGGAAGTTTTAAAAAAGAAAGCAGAAAAAAGAATCAAACTAAAATAAAACAGAAAAGGGGGACGAGCAAAATAAACCCGAATTTAAATCCACGTCGAAAAAGAAAGGGGGGAGATGATGTTGATGATCGTAGAAAGCCTGAGTTCGGAGGGGGGTTGCAGAAAGGGAGGGGAAAGGACAAGACTCAGGCAAAAAGGTGGGGAGCTGGAATGGAAGTCACGGAAGCTTCGATTCTGTGGCTCAGAGCTTCTTCAACGAAGTTTACTGCGAACCGACTCTTGGATTCTTATGGTGTGGTTTCTTTCCTCCTGAACCGCTTCTACTACTATTATTACGAGAGTCAATCGTCTCTCATGTACTTAATTAGTC